AAGTAAGAGGGGACGAGGGAGGAAGAAGGGAGGAATACGGAAGATCAAGGGAGGAAAGGAGGAAGGGGCAAGGGGAATAAGGAAGGGGAAGGAAAAGGAGAAGGGAAGAAATTGAACGGGTAAGGAAGGTAGGAAATGACGGGAAGTGAACGGAGAAAGGAAGGAAAGAGACATAAAAAGTGGCGGTAAACGAGAAAGAAAGAAAATGGAAGAAACGAAGGAAGGGAAGGGACCAACCCATAGACGGATAAAACACGGGTGTATCGTCCAGGTGTGCTTGGGCTTCTGGCAGGCTTTGTAGGACAGATAGGTAAAAGTGCTGGTCTGTTATTTTCGCGTGTCTAAAGAGGTGTTGATTAGTATACGAGGACATGGGAAGAATATAACGGCGTACCGACTCGCATGGTCCCTCTCAGCCGCCGTCAAGCGTCTTTGGACATCAGCGTTGGATGTGACGAAACGGGCGTATTTCTCTATCTTCCCAATCATCAACAACGATCGCAATGGAGAAAAAAAGACAGACGCACCTTGAACAACCTCGTACGGACATACGATCTCACGATAAACTTGACACGTTCAATTTCCGTCTGTACGAGCATAATCCGTATATGTTCTTCGTCAGACGAAGAAGGGTCACCACGAAGGAGGTGAACAGCTTCTGACTATCCGTCGTTCATCTCACAAGATATAAAGACGCGTGTGGTCCTTCACGCACCTGGCGCCTGAGATGGTCGAGCATCCCGCTGAGCAGCTCTTCCTGCGCGGGTAAGATGTCGGGAGCGTGTCGTTCGTTAAGCCAATGTCTTGTCAGCTGCTCAAGTGGCGTTTCGGGTGTTCTTTCGAGGAGAAATGGGTTGATATCGCCGGGGGATTCGGTGCGCCTGGGTGTAGGAGGACGTTGTTCGTATTCTTCGTCCCAATTCATGGTGGTAGTGGTAGCAGTGTATAATAACATGAACAAACAACGCGCTCATCTTTACCTCCAACGGTCTGAAATGAAATCCTGGTGGCTGGCATCTCTCCAAAATGATAAAAACCTGCTTCGAACGCAGTTTCGTGTCTCTATCGTTCCTTGTTCTTACCCTGAGTCGGCTTGAATAGTCCCACCCACACTCTTTTATAATTACAGTCGCTTTTCTCTAGTATGCCTGGCGTCGACTCTTCCTTGGCGGCTAGCGCGTCCGCGTACCCACACGCATCGGACCAAACTATAGTCGGTTACATTCTTATCGCGCTCATCATTTTCGCGGCTATGGCTTTGATCTTTCGGTCCCTCTTCAAACTCGTCAAAGCTGCTCGACGTCTTGACAAGGCTGATCTTAAATCTGCAGCTGCTGTGGCTGCTTCTGAGGGGGAGTTGTCCACGTCGTCTACCTCTGCTGGTGCTGCTGTTGGTAATCATAACGTACGTTCCGCTTGCTTTTTATTTGTTTTTCTACTCAATGTTGGTAGGCCCAGCACCTAACGCACCGCCTGAAATCAGCCATCCCACGGCGGTGGGACGACATCGACGATAAGCTGGACGAATTCGAGCGGCTGACGGTAAAGTACTACGGGAACGCTAAGCGCTATGCTGTGCGTACGTTACAGAACATGGGCGTCTTGGAGAAGGCGGCGGACGAGGTGTGTCCTTTCTTTTTCTTCTTTTCGTTTTGTCATGTCTTCAACGTTATTTAGGAAGGGGGCATCGCATCGGACTCACACTCGAAAGCGAATGCGAAAGCTAAATGGAGGCTGACGGCTGGATATTTCAATAAGACTGCCTCGACCTCGTCTCAACATCAGGACCAGGACCAGCGGCAACAGCCGGAAGACCCAGCAAACACGACCACAGACTCTGATCTGGAGCTCGATGTACGTCTCTTTCATCCCATCCCCCAACCAACTAACTGACACTCCCCTCCCAGCTCGAAGACACATCCATCGTCAAACTCCCCTCCCTCGACCTCTCCTCAACCCCAACACTCCCCTACCAACCCCAACCCTCAAAAGAACACCCAACAACACCCACGCACAAAGAAGTCCGGAGGATAACAGCCATCGACATCCTCGAAGCACTAGCCAAAGTTGGGCGTCTGTCTCTCTCTCTCAACACTACGTACACGGAAAAGATGGACTCGTTGCTCCCTCGCGTCTCGCGCGATTCCAAGGCCTCCTTTGAACACGGGAACACGAACATGGGAAAAGCCAACACGAAGGAATGGAGAAGACTCACGGCGCTTGATTACTTGAGTAAATTCGTAACTAGTGCGGTCCCGACGGATAGGAATAAACCGTTACCGCACCGGCCTATTTCGGTCGTTGGGTCTATGCATAGCAGTGTGTCTGTGGAGGATGTGGTTATCGGTCCTCCTCCTCCTTTGGCGCTTGCTGTGATTTCGGAGGAGGATCTGGAGGGAGGAGGTGCTTATGAAACTTCCGCTTGTCAAGACGACGACGGGAAGCAAGCTGATTCCGAGACTGAGAAAGATGCTAGCGCTTTACCCGTTCCAGTTGCACGTGCGCCTTCGACCCATCGTAGGTCGATGACCCTCCCTTTACAACAAGCGCAACCACACCTCAACCTCGCGTCGGGTCTTTCGCCTTCGCCTTCGTCTTCTCTTTCTCCTTCTTCTACCAAGGCTGGAGAAAAACTCTCTCTTCAGCTTCAGCTTCAGGCAGAAAAAGACGGACAAGTCGTTTCCGAGTCTGACGAAAACACAACAACGACAGAAGACTCAGAGCTTCGCCCAACATCAGACATACCCCACATCACAGCACTCGCAGAACTAGCAGCGTCAATCGTAGGCGAACACCCAGACGCTCCGCCCATCTTGGAGCGTGTGGCTTCTCTCTCCCTCCCTGCTTCTTCTTCGCTTTCACCTTTACCATATTCCCTTCCTCTGTTCGTTGACCCCACCTCCCTTTCCCTCTCCCTCGACCCCACTTCCACTCCACTCCAGAATCAGAATTACAACCACCAAGCAGCACCGTCAAAGTTCGCTTGGGCAGGCAACACCCACCGCACCACCTTTGGCCTCATAACACGCGCCAACGTCCCCCCCACCCCGCCTAGACTGGCCATGTTTGTGGGGAGTAGCGGGGATGGGGGTGATGTGGGGTTTAGGTCGAATGCTGGGAGTGTTGTCAATGTTCGGGTTGTTGGGACTGGGAGGGAGAAGAGTTTGGGTGCGGATACGGGGATCGTGCTTGTCCAGACGACGAGTTTAGATTTGGGGAGGGGTGCGGGGGTGGGTGTTAGGGGGAGTGCGAATGGGGGTCGGGGTGGGAATGGGAACGTGGATGCGAATAGGAACTCTCAGGCACATGTCAACGGGAACGCAAACGCGAATGGGAGCAGGAACTCAAATGTTGCTGCGAGTCCTACCGGAAACCTCCTCCCCCTCGCAAACACAAACGCAAACGCAACTACTAGCCCAGACGCCAATGTCAATTCGGCTGTGACAGGGCCGGAGTTATTAGAGAAAATAAAGGAGGCCATGGGCGAGAGCCAGAATGAGGGTCAGGTTGGGAAGGGAGGTCAAATTGACAGCGAGGGCCAGGTCGAGGATGATCAGCTTAGGAAGGAGGGTCAAGTTGAGCAGCAGGAGGGGCTCCTTGCGAAGGACGGTCCGGTCGAGAAGGAGGAACAGGTTATGACGGGGCATGTGGCTGGAAAGACTGCGACAGGGGGTACGATCGGAAAGACGTCAACACCTGCGCACGCTGGGACGACGACGTCCACTGGGAAGCCGTCAGCACCCACTCAGACTCCCAGGCCATCAGCATCCATACAGATTAACTCGAGGCAGTCTACGCCCGTACAATCCGCAAGACTCGCCGTTCCATTGAGGCCCACCCGAGGGAAGGAGAACCGGTATGTGGCTGGAGAGCCGCCGAGGAGCGTACGGAGGCCACCCTCGCAGCTTCGGAATGTGCTTTGTGCTATTTGATTTTTTTTACATATAGTAGATCTTTCTTTTTGTGTAGAACTTTTTTTATGCGATCGATTGGTTGAATTGGAGGATACTCGATTGACAATTTGGTTACTACTCTATGGGTTCATGTGTCGTGTTGCAATGGCTGGGTATGGTGATGTCATATCGCCTCAACAGCTCCCCCCAAGCGCAAGAATCTCCGAGCGATCTGAAGAATGCCCCCAATCCGACTGACTGGTGCCGAGTTTTCTGTATAGTAATCTGTACATCAGATTGGCATTCATCAATTGAAAAAACTCACTGTAGATTTTTATGTCGACGACGAGCTCAGCATCGTTACCAGTGGGGGAAACTTGAAGCAAGACCGAAAATTTGCAGGCACGCCTGATGTCTTCACCCTGGAAGAACACCCAATCGTAGTCGGATGGAATACTGACAAGGCCGTCGGTGAGGTTGAAGAGACCCTATGATAAAGACCATTAATTAAAATATTTTTGAATATATGCGCGTTTTACGGCGTACCTTTGCACCAGACTGTAGTAGGTCGGATGGCAGGGGGCATGAGAATGATGGTACTGTATCCAGTTCTGATGATTCTGTCATTCGTGCTGTGAAAATTTGCGATGGGGTTTCAGAGAGTAGGTTCTCGAAAACTAGAAATCGAGCGGTGCTGGTGAAGAAATTGAATCAGTGCTTTAGTATCATAGTACTCGACATTTTTGAACCCACAGAGAGCGAAACCCAGCCAGATCGAGTGGGATTATATAGAAAACTTTTACAAGCGTGAGGGCGTCATCGAGAGAAGGTGGGGGCGTAGACGCCATGGTATATTGGGGTAAAACGAGAAGTAGCGAAACCCGAGACTTGACCTTGTATTTATAGATTGATCGAGGCCATAAATAATACTGTTTACCGGTTTTGGGAAGTTGTTGTTCAACAGTAGTAAATAAACCCCGAGCGCGTCCGGGGTCGGCACACTCTCTGCCAACTGCCGCCGCAGCACGCGTGCTATCACTCCGACGTCCTCTTCTGCATCCTCGACGAATCCCAACACGCAGCAATGCACCACTCCACCTCCGCGTCTCGCGCGATTTAACGGCCTCCTTGTGGTGTTGCACAATCCTTGGCTTTAGAACACGGGAACACGAAAGCGATAAAAGCTAATAGATTATTTGAGTAAACTCGTCATCACAGCTGTCCCAGATAGGAATAAACCGTTCTCACTGTCAGCCTGCTTCCCGTCGTCTTCTTGAGGAGCTGAGGGTTCATCCACTTCACAAGTGTTAGGTCTTTCGTCTTCGCCTTCTTCCAAAGCTGATGAGGTCTCTCTCTCAGTCAGGCAGAGAAGGACGGACAAGTCATTTCCGAGTCTGGCGAGGCCCCAAACACAACGATAGAAGTTGACACACTCAACGAGCTTCGCCCAACATCAAACATACCCCACATCACAGCCTCCACCCCAGAATCACAATTACACCCCAAACAACCATAACTACCCAGCATCAAGGTTCGCCTGGGCAGGCAACACCCACCGAACCACCTCCTGCCTCGTGCAGCCTGGGACGACAACGACGACCACTGGGAAGCCGTCAGCACCCACAGACTCCCAGGTCACCAGCACCCGCAAACCCATGTACAGATCAGCTCGAGGCTATCTACGCCCGTACAATTCGCAAGACTTGCCGTTCCATTGAGGCCCAGCCAAGGGAAGGAGAACCGGTATGTGGCTGGAGAGCTGCCAAGGAGTCCACCTTCAACGTAATGTGCTTTGTGCTATTCTATTTTCATACTAGATCTTTCTTTTTGTGTAGAACTACTTGGAAGGGCGGTTTTTTAATGCGATTGATTAGTTGAATTGGAGGATACTCGATTGACGATTGTGTTACTACTCTATAGGTTCATGCGTCGCGGTGGGAAGGAGAGTCCCAAAGGGCTGATGTCGTAAGTATTCCCTCAGCAACAGCTCCAATGCCCATCATAGCCCAATAATCTCCGACCCATAGACTTGCTGATAAAGCTCGACCGAGGGATTAAAAAAGAACCTTTGGTAATGGACGACACAAGGACAACAAATTATGACTATCTAGCACGTTTTATCATGACTACTAGTACCTTAGAGTAGTTGGTCCACCTTAGGCCTAGCACCTCTACATGCTTCTGGGCCCTTAGAGGCCGATTCTTTGTCTGGGGGTAACAGGCCTGAGAGGGGGATCTTCCTGAGCGCTGATGGCGCTGTCAGCTATTTATATCCCCCATCAGATCAAGATCCGAATCAGATGCACTCCAGCCTGTTGCGCCTCGCACCAGCGAGCACATTGAGCGCTCGCGCTCTGTCCTTTGGGACTTCGCCATTCTTTACGCTTACACTTCATAAATGTACCATGTGCTAGAAATAAACGATTTTTCCTTATCTTCTTGTCTGACTCTCATCGTCGCTTCATCTCGATGTTGCTCAGCAAAGCACGCGCCCGACAGCCTGCCACAAAGGGATTTGGACAAGCTTTTCGCAGTCCCCACAAGAGGCAGGATAGTCAGAAAAGCTCGACTTTTGTCACGTATCTCAGCCAAGAGGATAAGATATGTCGCCTCAAAGCGAAATTGGCTCAGCTTCAGGCATTACCTCCAGAGGAGCTTACGGTTATGGAAGAGGATGAGGGGGGAGGCGAGGGAGATGGTCTCGCTGAGACTGAAGAAGCACAAGGTTCCTCGCCAGTGCCTGATGACTGGATGGACGTGGAGGCACCCGCCAACCTCCCTCAACCGCCCCCCTCGCCACCAAGGACCCCTATTTCTGCCAAAATATGTCGCACTGGTCCTGATGCTGCCACCAATCTTCTGTATGAACAGTGGAAGGCCCTCACACCCCTGCTTATTGCTCCGCTTGTCCGATTTTTGTCCATGACAAAAGGAATCAAATACTCCCCTCCTGGGGACATTCGCGCATCCTGCCTTCACCCACACATGTGTGTGACGAAGACCCGAAAAGTTCTATGTTTGTTCTTTGATCATACGTATTGACTGTTCTCATCCAGCACGAGATCTAACCACCCTTGGCTGTAGCCCTATGCCTTATACCCTGCAATAATGCACTTTATTCATTTCCATAGGGAGTGCATTTGACCACTTGGTCAGGATGTGGGTTAATGCACAGCTTGCTGTAGGGTGGGTAGAAAGAGGTATTGTTGATATGGGTACCTATTTATTATTTAATTCTGGGGAGACATTTATGTTCCCACAGCTTTGTTTCTCCTAGAAAGAACACCTGAAACTTTACCATATATATATTTGATGATGTTCTGACACTCCTAAATAGTTTCCTCTGTCAAATCTGACCGAAATAGGCTGGATGCAACAAATCCATTTTGGATGACCTTGGGCCTTTTGATGCCTTTGGTACACAATTGTCAACAATGCATAGTTTTACTTCTGAGGAGATATATATGTCCTACAGCTTTGTTCCTCCTAGAAACAACCTTTAAAACTTCACCGAATATATCTGTGATAATGTTCAGACCACTCCAGATAGTTTCCCTCTGTCAAATCTGACTGAAATAGTTGGATGCAACAAACCACAGCTGGGTTGTGGGTGATCACGGGAAGGGAAGGGAGGGGACACGTTAGCTCACCTGGGTTGGTGACACTGGTGATGGGCACTCATCGCCCTTGGTAGTGGTAAGGGTGCACGTGTGTCACCGTCCATGGGTAGACTTTTGGCTTGCAACCTGTGTTGGTCCAAGTGGTTGAGAGTCAGTGGAAGACGGAAGAGAGGGAGGTGTATCATTGAGGTCCCCATTGAGGTGAGGTTGAAGAGTTACCAAAGCTGATGAAACTTGTGTTTCAGCTAGGGGATATTGATGGAGGGTGTTGATGGTGGATCATCATTGTCATCAGGTGTTGGGGTCATGTCCGTTGTCCTGAAAGTCGACGTCAACGTGTGGTGTGCCATGTCAGCCATTTCGTGGTGGAGCCGTTGGCACCGATGATCCGACGACTCGTGGCCGTTGTGGTGGTAGTGGTGGGCGGTCGCCGTCGTTGGTGGAGGGTGATGGTGGTGAATTGTTGTTGTCGTCCCTAGTTGTGGAGTCTTGGTGTCGTCGACGTGGCATGCCCTGTTGGCATACCACATCAGCCATCTGCTGGTGGCGCCGTTGGCAACGCTGTAGGAAAAACTCACCATAATGAAGTTAGACATACTCAGTTAATGTCTAATGGGCCCAGCTGATCCGTTGTGCTCCACGAGATGAAGCTCCCACATGGACGTGGACGCCGCTCATCGTCGTCATCTCTGTTATCGACCTCGTCATCCGAGTCATCGAAGGGCATGTCTGCAAGTTCCTGCTCGAGGATTTGTTCGTCTATGGGACTGCTCGGTCAATGATGATGGGATGTAGATATGAGCAAAGCATGTACATTTTCGAAGGGCTACCACTAAGAGGAAAAAGGGGAGAGGTGCGAGAAGGAGTTGCGGTGGTTACAGTTGACAGCATCGATGTGGCATGCTCAACCACACATCAACAGTGCTCGGAAAACGCCGAGCGCTGGCGGAGAGTTGCGCAAGTCGCTCCAGCGTCTGTTATTGGGAAGAGAAAAATATGGAAAAATGTATTTAGAGGTTCTGAGGAATGATATTAACATTTAAGATAGGTGGCAATATGTATTCATCGGGCAGGGAGTAAAAGTCATAAGAAGTCTAATATCGCAAATGAGATTCCGGCACTTTCAGTTGCTTTATTGTGACCCTCTGCATCTATCCCATCCACCTGTATCTCCACAATCTTCTGATTTCCATAAAACTTTGGGAATACATTCAGTTTTTTCTTCTGAAGATATCTATGGAGTTTTATGGCCATTGGATGGTTTAAGTGGACACAGTATAGTTAAAGTCTGAAGAAACACACCCTATTCAATGGCTTTCACAAACAAAACCTTCATTATCAAAGTGGATACTGTACTCAGAGACTTTTACTGACACCAACCTTTACTTAGGATCCTGTGAATCTAATTCCCTGAAATTTAGAACAGTACACCAAGTTTTCCCAACACAATTACATGTTTTAAAACCCTCCTAAATATGAAAAAATGAAAACAAGACTTTCAGGTGTGTTATTATACTCAAAACACAAAACTGCCTGTTCTAATATCCTTTCACTTATGCTATGGATATTTGGTAGACTCTAGCTGGCATGTATTAGTTTACAACTTGCTGGAATGATATGTTTTTGGGCTTTAAAAACAAAGATACTCTTTTCTCTACAACTTTTAGCCAACTTATGATAGTGTGTTAAGTCAGAGTTCCTAATTCAATCATGCTGACCTATTTTACCACTGTCAGTATAATGTTGCCTTCCCCTCCTTGCTCAATTTCTGTTGGTTTCAATATGTTTGGAGAGTTTGCATCTGTTTGTCTACAGCTTTCAAACTCGTCATCCAACTTCACGATGTGGCATCCATCCACTTGTGAGGGCGCCATGCACACGAAAAATGGAAAAATGGGCTATGTTCTTCTTTTAGAGTACTGAAATATATATTTTCATCAAATACAAGTGCAGAGAATGAATGACCGTGCCTTTTGAAGATCTGGGCTCTTGGGGGTAACTATTTGTATCTATGTGGCAATGCCTTTGGCAGCGTCATCCAGCCGAAACCTGAGCCATCCATCCGAAAAGCTGCTGAATTGAAATACAAAATACTACTATATGATACAAACCAATTGAAATTGAAGAACTATGAGGTCAAATCCATGAATATATTGAATGACACCCACAAAAGCACACTTTTCATGAATTCCGCTCTCAGAAGCTACCTTTGTTGATGATTGTTTGTTACCTAGAAGGATCAAAGAACAAAAGGTCATCCGGAACATGACTTGCGCATCCATCATCTCCCCACCTCCGATTGAGGTGGAAATTTTTTGAAAAAATTGGAAATATATTTCTACATTACTTGGTAGCTTTGAGTAGCTGTAACACAAGTTTTGATGGAGAAAACTGAAAATCATTACAATTGGAATATTCTGGTGAAATGCAGCTTTTTTAGAAGAATTATGACATGGAAAAACATATGTGGATGCTCTTTTGGCAAGAAAAACATACACAGAATACAAGAAAATATACCAGTCAACAATGCTGATCCAGGATGTACCATTTCTAAGAATTTTCAATCATAAAACATATCTGAGCTATATTTAGATCTGTCCAACATTCTGGATCCCTAGAAAAAACATATTTGGATGCTGTTTAGGCAAAAAGAAAACATCCACAGAATACAGGAAAACATACCAGTCATCGATGCTGATCCAGGATGAGATTTTTGAATCATCAAACATATCTGAGCTATATTTAGATTTGTAATAAATTACAAACATTCTGGATCTCAAGAAAAAACATATCTGGATGCTCTTTAGGTAGACAAAACATACAGAAAACATATCAGTGACCCAGAATATCCCATTTCTGAGAATTTTTAATCATGAGACACATGTGAGTTATATTTAGATTTGTAATAAATCACAAACATATCAGGCTAAAAATAGATGCTGTAGAATGATATTATAAGCAGAAAACATATTCTGGGGGTATTTTTTATTATAGGTGCAATGATTTTTATTTTTGAAAGGCTTTTTTTCAAATATTCCAATGTTCCACAGCCCATGGCATTTTGGCCAAGTGGCCAATTGCACACACTATGGAAATGAATAAGGTGGAACATTCCAGGTCAATTTGGTCTAAAACTACAGCCTGGGCTGATCTAACACCTCATCCTTGCAGACTTTGACACCTTCAAAATTGTCGCCTGTGAATGTGAGGACCTCGTCAACCATGGCCTTTTTCCAACATCACCATCCCAGCCACGCATGGCTGTTTCCATCCCACTCATCCAGCTTTATCATGCTCTTTTTGAGTGCTCCTGTGATGCCATTAATGCTTTTGCCCATGCTCTGAACACATTCTATGGACGCCGAGGCTTTATACATTGCAACTCTAAGGTAGGTCTCCAACCATTGTGTTATAGCTATTGTCCTACTGATCTAAACCAGGGGGAAGTTGTTCAAGATGCCTTCTGTCGAGGGTTCGGACACGCCGTTCAATGGTACAACAGTTTGCAAGTCTCTATTGAACATCAACTCAAAGGAGCCATCCTGGCAGGTGACGCCACTGTCCGTGACCACAAGCAGCCAGTCCCTCTCACTCTTGCAATCAATCCTGAGGCACCCATGTCACACCCAAGTCCAACCATCTTTGATGTCCCCCTGTCGACCCCAGGTCAATCCAATCTTGAGGCACCCATATCCCCCTCTCCCAGTGTTGCAAATGAGTCGCCGCTTTCCCCTCCACCACTCAAGGAATGTCACAGGATTCTTCAACGACAATGCCCCGCTTGCTTCGCCTTGGATAAGTTTGGACGATCTGGACGCACATATGTGGACTGCAATTTGTATCAAATTTGTGCTGATAGAGATCATCAGCAGCACAGATATTATAGTTGCCACCGATGGGAATTTTAGCCAATGGCATAGGAAAGATGCAGGCGACTGCCCTGAGTTTTATAGTCCTGAGTACTTCCTGAGCAAGGAGTACGTTGACGGTGTTGGAAAACATATCACTACAGTGCGGGGCAAACCACCCAAAGCTCACAAGCCGGCGAAGGTTCCTGATGAGGCAGTGAATGACTGTGAAGAGGGACACGATTCTGGAAGCAGATCAACCGTGAAAACCAACATGGATCACTACGATGATGGGGGCATAATGGCTCTTGTCTGTCATCATGACGTTCCACTTTTTCTCGCCAACATTGATACCCCTGGCGAGCAACAGAAGTACGCTGTTTCCCTCATCGAGCATCTTTTTTCCCTCCTCCCTTCAACCACCACAGTCACCGTTCTCTATGATGTGGGTTGCATTCTTGATCGCAGCCTCAATTTGGTGAGTAAAAGCCCCTCTTCACACACTTCTGATTCTCATTTTCGTCAGTATGACATTCTCCCACCCGATATCACGGATCGGTTAGATTTTGGTACCAGCGCTATGCATGCTTATGTACATCAGTGGTCCTGCCAGCTTGTATAGAATCCACGCATCCGTGAAGGCCCTGGACTTTCCGATGGCGAAGGCGTCGAGCGCTTCTGGTCTCGATTGCGGAAGATGATTGGTGTTACGAGGGTATCTGCAGTTTGTCATCCACAGTCTTAGGTTACCTCTTAACCCTATTAACAATCTATACAGTGACGCCGAAGGATATGGCTGCTTGACAGACAGACTTCCTCAATCGGTGAAGAGCTACATGACGACCTTGGTGATTGGATCTGGCATTGGCTGAAAACGACTGAAGCTGAGCTCCTTGAAACTAAGCAGAAGTTGACTGACTGTGGCGTGCCAATGGACGAATTGTGAGATCAGTGGGTGCTTCAGCAAGCAGCACAACTTTCTCTTCGGGCACTAGTACCTACCACTTTTATGATAAAGCCTAGGCAGTTGCCTGCACAGTCATTTAAATCTGGCCAACTAAAATTATGATATGAGAAACCTGGACTACAGAAATGAAATGGATATCATTGGAGTGCCAGGCAATTTTGTTCTATAATTCATTTCTATTTCATTACTTCCCTAGGGCAATATCATTGGTATTTCATTGCTGTACCAGGTCGATTTCATTACTATTTCATTCCTTATCATTACTTCCCTAACCCAATATCATTGGTATCTCATTTCTCCCAGGGCTTATTTCATTGCTTTCCCAGCCCAATATCATCGGTATTTCATTAGTCTACCAGGCCAATTTCATTATCATTTCACTAGTCCCTACCACCTTATATGATAAACCTTAAGCAAATGCCTGCACAGTTATCTATTTCCTGCCAGGTGTGTTATGATATGAGATACTTAGGCAAGCTAAATGAAATATGTCTCATTTCCTGCCAGAGGCATTTCATTGTCAGGGATATTTCATTTCTTGCCTGGGATATTTCATATCCATTTCATTGCTTGCCCTGGGTTATTTCATATTCTTGCCTTGGGCTATTTCATATCCATTTCATTCCTTGCCTTGTGCAATTTCATATCTTTGCTTGGGCAATTTTATATCTCTACCTGGGCAATTTCATATCCATTTCATTCCTTGCCTTGTGTGATTTCATATCTTTGCCTGGGCAATTTCATATCCATTTCATTCCTTGCCTTGTGTGATTTCATATCTTTGCCTGGGCAATTTCATATCCATTTCATTCCTTGCCTTGTGTGATTTCATATCTTTGCCTAGGCAATTTCATATCCCTGCCTGGGCTATTTCACATCCATTTCATTCCTTGCCTGGGGCAATTTCATATTCTTGCCTAAGCAATTTCATACCTACCCTACTGCGTTTATCATTGCCCCCTCACTGTTTCCCACAGTTTGCTCACTGTTTCCAGGGTCCAAAAGCACACTTCTAAATATGGAAATGTGTGCTTTTCTAAAAGAAAAATAGCAATAAAATAGGGAAAATTCATGGGATAATAGTACTCAAATTTGCAAGGTTTGTATTTGTCAGGGTCCATTGGGGGATGTCATGATATTGGTCACATGACCAATTACCAAAAATGGTCAAAAACGAAAGTTGTAGCCCTACACTGTAGCTTCCCAAATCTGTTCGAATTATGTTCTGAAGTGCTCCCATTATGGATATATGAGGTAAAGGAATCCCAAAAGCGTCGCATTTTTTTTTGTTTTTTGCATTTTTCTCCCTGAAAACAAAACCAAACAATATGATTTCAGTATATTTAGAAAGCTAAAAGAAAGGGCTACAGTTATTGTATCATGGGAAAATTGACCAAAAAAGGAAGGTCAACATAGTCAACTTTGATATCAGCTCTTTGAGTGCTATATGATGATGGGCTGATTCATCCTTGGAGGTGTCCTCAAGTCAGGTCATGTTGTAAGTTGACAATGTATTGAGACAGAACAGTAGATATCAACATGAAAGCAGACAGTGTGAAAGCCAACTTGGGCATGATGTAAAAAATTGATAATGTGGCAATCACAATATGTAAAGTCATGGCAATCCTTCAGTCATATCCCCACATGAACTTATAATTATGTTTTGAGATAGGACAGTAGGTATCAATATGAAAGGCTTAGAATAGCCTTTCCTAATGTGAAAGACAACTTGTGCATGATGTCAAAAACTAATGCTGCAGCACTGGCAATATGTAAGATCATGTCAATCCTTCAACCTCATCCCCATAACCTAGACAGGGCCAAGGACACCATAACCTACATGTCAACTACAAACTTTTCTAATGAAAAAGCACACTACAAACTTTTGTAGTCTAAAAAAGCGGACACTACACACATTTTCAAATGAAAAAGCAGACACTACAAACTTTTCCAATAAAAAAGCGCACACTACAAACTCTTGTAGTCTATAAAGTGGACTCTACAAAAGTTTGTAGTCTCAAAAAGCACACACTACAAACTTTTGTGGTGAAAAAGGCAGACATCAGTAAAAGTTGTAGTCTATGTCCAACTTTTGTAGTCTTTTGTAGTCCATTAGTAAATTTTATAGTCTATGTCCGACTTTTGTAGTCTTTTGTTATCATTTCTAGTCATTAGTAAATTTTGTAGTCTATAAGTCACTTTTGTAGTCTGTCAGAGTCAATTTCCAATTTAGGGTATATACCTTCCTTTTTGAGTCAATTTTCCCATGATACAACTATCATAGCCTTCTCTATTAGCTTTCTAACTGTTGAAATCATGTTGTTTGGTGTTGTTTTCATGGAGAAAAATGCAAAAAAAGCCGGTGGTGAGAAGAATCTCTTGCCTGATATCTTCACAATAGGAGCACTTTAGAGCATAATTCAAACAGATTTGGGAAGCTACAGCACAGGGCTACAACTTTCATTTTGGGCTATTTTTAACAATTGGTTATGTGACCACCCTCACCATAACACATTGGACAGACCTGACAGGTATTAATGAAATCGGCCTGGTATGGTAATGAAATACCAATAATATTCGCCTAGGGAAGTAATGATAAGAAATGAAATCAGCCAGGTGCAGTAATGAAATGCCAATGATATTGGGCTGGGGGAGCAATGATAAGTAATGAAATCGGCCTGGCAGAGCAATGAATACCAATGAATTAGGCTGGGGAGGTAACAATAAGAAATGAAATAGTAATAAAATTGGCCTGGTAGAGTAATGAAATACCAATGATATTGCACTAGGGAAGCAATGAAATGATAATGAAATCAGCTAGTAGAGTAATGAAATACCAATGATATTAGGCTAGGGAGGTAATGAAACAGTAATGAAATTGCCTGGCAGTACAATGATATCCATTTCATATCTGTAGTCCCAGTTTCTCATATCATAATTTTTAGTGTTTAAAGGTTCAGTTCAGTCCGGTTTTTTGCCCCGAAAACGCGCAACCGTGGACCGCAACCGGTTCAAGACCGACCCAGATATTGAGGGAACCGAACCGAACCACCTAGGACCGGTCTTTTGCGGTCCATGATACCGGTTCAGACCGATCCAGACCGGTTTTTTTGCGTGTAATTTATTATACCAATATAAACCATTTGTATCTCAACCATTATTACTCTGAAAAATAAACGGGTTATATAAAATGGTAAAGCATATAAATACCCGTCATTCTACCAATTTTCAAGAGATTTAATGAAGATTTGACATAGCTATGACTGAAACCGAATTACATCTCATAGAGACTCGGGTAAAATATGGATTTGGTTATATCTTTCTCAATTCTTAACCGTTTTTGATGAAACAAAAACCCAATAAAAGGCAATAAACGTGGTTACAAGGCTATGTAACGCACGTGACCGTTTAACCGGTTGCAACCGATTAAAACCGGTCTTTGAACAGTTTTAAAAGATTTTCAAAATGAGGCAACCAGCAACCAGACCAACCCCAAATTGGGGCAACTGCAACCGAAAAAAAGACCGGACCATGGTCCGGTTCAGTTCGGTCCTATGGACTGAACCTTTAAACACTAATAATTTTAGTTGGCCAGATTTAAATGACTGTGCAGGCAACTGCCCAGGTTATATCATAAAAGTGGTAGGCACCACTCCTTCAGGCTCGTAAGCTTCAATCTCAAGCTTTGACTTCCCTTCCTCACTGAATCCCAATGTTTAGATGCCCCTGCACGTCTCAAAAAGGAACTTGACAGCGTTCTCAAGCTTCAGTCGACCATCGACACGACAGATGATGTGATCACCTGCCTTGCTGACCGATTCTCGAAGTCAACATTAGAAAGTTTGGCAAGAACCCAAGAACGGCTCAAGGATAAGGTACAAGTACTATACCAATCGTTGAACATCGAAGAATCATTCCCAGAACTCCAAAACATTGACCTTGACTTTGTTAGGCTTTTAGTGCTGGCCTGCGACCTCAAAATCAACATCTGAAAGCGGGCGGTTGGTAGTTTCTTTGAGTGGGATAGATTGGATCAAGCGGCTGGTGGTCATAACCAAGCCATAGGTTCGCTTGCCTGTATTTGTCTTGCTTACACTCACTTACTTCATATAACAGGGACCAAGATTCACCAAAGCACTCGAGACGCGATTGCCAAAAGGAAGCTGGCCCTTCTCAAAGTGATTTGAAAGTTCAATTTGTATTGTGAACAGCTAGCAGCCATCTACTGCCCTGAGTGGGGACTCCCACTCCCTGAAGCCCTCCCTGTCAAGCTCGATGCCTTGCAGAATAGCTCCTCACTCTTGGAAGACATCTGGATTATGCACAGTCCACAGGAGATTCCTCGATGGCTCGATGAAGTTGAGGTTCGAGTTGGGATACGAGCAATGTTGAAGGTAGATCATTGCTTGGAGGAACGTCGTAGATTAGGTCAGGAAGCAGATAATTTGTGTCGCTGGTTTGGCCAGGAGCTCTTGGCTCTGGAGGCTGCTGTTCTCTCCCCATCCAGTGAGTCAGTCCATTTGACATTCAACACGCCGACTGAGTTTCTATCAGACCAACCCATTTTGGTCCTTCTCGAGACCTGGCATGCTCATCTTCTCTCACTCAAATGCCGATGGACCAATGTCCTTGCATCAGGTGTTCACTTCGAAAGTCACGTCCAAGCTGCGACTGACCTGAAACATCGCATGCCAACCTTTACTCCTACCTCTCCAGCCACCAATGTCCGTGGACCTGTGACATGGCTAACGCCCCTTACAGAGAGGGTCGCTGAACTTACTGATGCCGACCCTGCCTACCATGCATTCGATTTCATTGAGCATAACGACATGGCTAGGGACACAGGGGAAGTCCTTTTTGCCGACCTCATTGATGCCGAGTTAGATGATGACAATGAATCGTTTAACGACCATCTGGAGCAATTACCACCCCAACATCTGCCGGAAGATCCTATAAAGCTGGTCTGGGACTTGCCTGTAAGTGAAAACATAATTCTTCGTCATTGAAACTCTATAATATTGTGTTCTTAGAACAACTTGATGGAGGACACAACAATTCTGGACGTGCTCCATTTCCAAACATTTGCGCCGCTACCCACTCACCGCCACCAGCGCTGAGTACCCAATGCCAAGAAGGACCGCTTTGTTTTCGATGAGGAAGACATCCTACGCTTTGAAACTCCTCGGGCACTCCTCAATGATGTGTGTATCAATAGCACTGCCACACTCTTTCAACATACCTGGTCCCGCCCCAGTGAATATCACGAAATGGATAGCCGACGCTGTGCCATCTTTTCGACTTTCAACCTCCACATGGTGCACTACAATTGCCCACTCTCTGATATCTGGCACCGTACCTCTCATCTGGAATTCTGGCATAAGGACATCTGGCTACTCCCCATCCATCGACCATGCCCCGCTGGTCATTGGGTATTAGCTGTTATTCTGGTGTCATCGGGCAAAATATTTCTATTTGACAGCTTCACTGAACTTGCCCCGTGGAAACATGAAATCAGTGTAAGTCATTCTTATTCATGACTGCTGATCTATATACTGACAAGATTTCAGGAAATAATGCTTCTAATTACTCGGCTTGTCCTCGCTTCGAATCATAACGGCCATCCGCTTCACATTATTACCGAAGAAGGCTGGTCCGCGCAGCCCCTTTTATTGCATGCTGTCCAGAACAACGGCCATAGCTGTGGGTTGTGGGTTCTTGCCTGCATTGCAGCAGTTCTACAAGGCTTCCATATCACGGGTCTTAAAGAGAGGGACCTCCCGGCATTCAGACAGAGTCTACTTCATCACATTTTCCTTCTTCCCTGACATAACATGACATTAGATACAAGATCTGCGTATTGCGAGTGTACACTATTGAATATATCAGATACTCACTCCATTCTTATGCCGTTGCCTATTCTCTTTGGTATGCAAAACCTTTCGCTAGGTATGCCGCCTGGAAAATAAGGATTTCCATCATTGTGTTGCACAACAACTGCTCCATCCAGCAAATGATCTCCCCAACCTCGAGTGTCATTCCCTGCACTTTCCTCCACCTCTCACTCACTCCATCCAGCTGAAGAAGGTGTGCCTTGCATGTCTGAAAGTAAGTCCAAAACTTTTCCAAATCCTTGATTCGGTCGGAGAGCGATTCGGTTTTATTAGTGCGTAAGTAGTCTTGTGCTGCTGCCTCGACATATGACTTGGAACAGGCATGAAGATGGATTCAAAGCTGGGTGTGGCGGCCATCGGCCTGGTAAGCCCAGTACTCGGGTTTGGAAGGGTCGCTGGAGGAAACATTAGATGCTCAAATGACAGAAGCAGATACGACGTACGTTGGTGCTGTTACTTCAGGCACTAGGGCCGTATTCTTTGGGCCGGCGATGGCATGGCTAGTGGTAGGAAATATTGAAACGTAGTCAGATAGTTTTGAATGTCCACATACCCTGAGTCTTGTGATTGTCGTCTTTTCTGTCGTCGTGCTAGTAGAATATCAGATCTGTGACTTGAAGATTTCAATGTTATAAGTCAATGGCCAGATAAAGGACTCTTACCATAGGTAGCAATGTGCGCTTTTTGCTCTGTTGGCTTTTCGTTTGGCATCCGCTGTGTAATGTAACTGTGGTTGACCCATTGAGGGAGCGTGTAAGGTAAGTGTTAAGTGCAAAACTCAGAGCAAACCCCATAAGTGGTCTGACTTTTACTCATTCTCTTTCTATGTGTTCCAACCGCTGCATCTGTGAGTGAAAACATTCTAGTAAACTTACTGATTGAATCCATGAGGTTAACCAGGCGATCCATCCCCTATGAATTGCACTTTGACGATCTTATGTTTTGCATTGAGCATCGGTTATTTGCACAGCCAAATTGCCGTAACCTTAGCTTAGGGCTTGTTTAGGGTTGCAACTCCATGTGCTTGTTCGTTCCTCAATCTATATCAGACATACCCAATCTCTTCGATCTAAATCACAGAGGTATGTTCTGTTGAATCCTATTTTGTTTCTGTCCGATCACTATAATGTCGGCAATGTCTTGTAGAACAAATGTCGGATATCATAGCTATCTACAATGCTCTGGCCTGCATGAATCCTTCGTTCGCGTAAGATGCTGTTGCTATTCCTGGGTTGAAGGTGGCTGATGGAGATTGCCGAACAGCTATACAGTTGGTGTGTATATAAACCAACCAACCCTGAATTCGACCCTTAAACTCTTACCCCCATCATCTGCTGTTCCGCGTTCCCAGCCAACCACCCACTTGGTCTTTCCATGCTTCATCGTAAGTTCCTTCGTCACTCTACATTTGGTAGCAGCTCACAATTATGTGTAGGCACCTCTGTCTCACGCCCTGGCTTCAACGAGTGCTGCCTCCAGTGGTAAGTCGTGTCAATCCGAAAGTTCAGCGCTAATCCATATTTTGTAGGCGACACTCCCACTCATGCCAATACCCCCTCTGGGGCCCGAGATGTCATCAACGATAAGTGGTGTAGTGGTACGAACAGATGGGACACTCGCGTTTTGATCAGTGCCAGACTCACCTGAGATCGATGTACTCAACGGTCAGTGATGTTGCCGTTCAAAGGGATGAATCACTCACATCTTGATTAGCTACTGATTTACCTGCGCTCCATCGAGCCCCTCGTCCTGCAGGCACAACTACCCCTCCTGCCGTTAACGGGCAACTTCTAAGTGGTGGGACCAGCATGAGTGATGACATCCTCATTGTGTCTTGTGGTTTCTGCGAAGCTCGCAACGTTGTGGAGACATCGAAGGACGCGTACTATGTTGTATTCAAGGGAAAAGGCAGTGTAGGTATATACTGGTCTATTGTAAGTTCAACTTTCATTGTTATCTTCTTTTGCTTACCCGTTCTTTTAGGACGACGCCAATGCCTTCGTTCGGGGCGTGCCTAATGGTTGTGTAAAACATTACACCACTTGCAAGGCCACTTTTGATGCGCTTGCTCAGGCCAAAGCATCTGGGGGTGTCGAGTTTTTGTAGACTTGGACATTCATTCATTGCATGCACCCTCCTTCCCACTCCAAAACCATGTTCTTTACCCACATGCACGCTTTCCCCCTTCTTGGCCTCGCACTTCTTGGACTCAATCGAAGATGTATCTCGTATATTACATGATTTGTACTCCTTAATTTAGCCCTCCAAACAATTTGATACCCACTTTGTTGTTGAATGTGTATGAATGCCAAACAATGCTCAGCACCATTGATCATTCAATTGGAAACTTAATCAACAATGCTGTCCTTCTCCATCACGACTTCCCCCCCTCCAACACGACTTGCCCCCCCTCTATCACAACTTCCCCCCCAACGGTGTGCCTTCGATGTCCCTTTCGGTCTGCAAATTCAGCTTCCAGTGACACCTGTCAGACTTCCGAGGAGCGCTGATGACAGTGCAGATCCTGTTCTTAACATGTACACGTTGTTCGCTGGTGCATCACCGCGGACCATACACAGCGCGCTGGCACATCACACAGAGGCGTGTTTTCGAAACACTTCTCATTGATGCAAAACATCTTCGGTGAGTGGCAACTTTTGGACTAATTACCTTTGTGGCATCATTTATTCACTCTTGAGGTGCTTCCTGCACTTCAAGCACTTCAATATGGCGAATCCTCACTTCACAACGCCGTCAAGGACCTGGCAATTATTGCCAATTTTGGCCTTTTTTCAGTGGTAATGATGACAGCCCCCCCACTTCTTCGTTGTGATGATGGCCATCCATGCGCCATTGTTGAATTTTCCCACTGGCCTCAAATTACCGACCCACCAACCATTTCTCCTTCCCCCCAACACTTGTCTCATTTCTTAGCCAATGTCGTTCTTTCCCAACATCATTCTTGTCCTCAGCGCCCATCGTATCTTGACCAGTGACCACGCCATCTGTCATTATCACTGGTATGTGGTGACTTACAAGTTTCTATGATTTACGACTGACTTGATGATATAGAAATGACAGACAGCTGCTACCATTTACGCCGCAAGTTGCACCCAACACCCAAAAGTAAAATCAGCCAGAGGGTTCTCTCAAATCATGAGAACTGTACACCAACACCTTCCTCATCGTGCCCTCCTTCTCCTACGCTGCCTCTGCCTCCCAGCCAGTATTTGCACCATCAACAGAAGCCCCCATGGACATTTTCGATGCGAGCACTTCAGATAGTGTCGTTGATCATACCACCGCTGAGGTAGATCATTGGCTGGGTGCTGGTGCCAGTGACGATATCGCGTCCATGTGCGTTGACGCCGCGTTAACGCCAGAGGATGACACAACACCTTCAAGTGTTGAAGAAACCTATCACCCAGATGGGAAAGACGTCAATGTTGGTGACACGGAAATGGCTCCCGTCGCAAACGTTAACCCCTTCCCTCCACTTAACCCTTATCCTGAGTTTACGTTCCCACCAGCTCCCTCTTTTCCGACCAGCCTTCCTCCTTGTGGTCCAGCTACCACTTGCCCCCTTCCAGCCAATCTGTCAACAGATTTTTTAGACGATGAACCTGACTACAACGCCCCTGCCGAAGATGAAGACCCTGATATCTTTCCAGCATCTGATGCGGGCGACATGTCACCTGCAGGAGACGACTCCGCCTCAAGTGAGCAAGGTGCCCATCAGCCATCAGGCCGGATCTCGACAGCTACTTGGGAGACACTATGCGCCGGGTTTCAGAAACTGGACGATTTGATTGATAAGCTCTCGCATGAGACTGGACACACTTCGGACAATGTCATTGCATTGTGGAAACGTAGCCATGCCCGGGAGTGCTCACACTCCGTTTGGAACAAGTATCAATGTTACTTTCTAGATAATCGGCCTTTGGAATGGTGATGGATTAATGACACAATGGCGAACTGTAAGTGTTCCTGCATTTACACTATAGCTCCCACTCATGGTCTTCCTTTAGGTAAGACATGTTGGGAGGGTTTCAAGAGAGATCCTCGATGCCCATGATGAGATGCTGACAGTGTCCAGGGCCCAGTTGACCATCAACAACTGCACACGCAAATTCAACACCTTGATGAGGAAGTACAAAAGCCTCGCCAAGAACGCTTCAGCAAAAGATGGGTTCGAGTCTTTGCTGGTTGTCGTTGGCAATTCCATTCACAAGGACATGGGGCTCACGGACTTGTACATTTCGCCAGGCGCTGATAAGGTTGGTGTTTGTGTGTGTTGTACTCAATAACCCCACTAACCATCCCCCACTCCAGTTCTTAGAAGATCGCCTTTGCTTCGATGAGAGCACGATGACTGGATTATTCAGGAACCACGTCTGGTAAGTTACCACTTTGTAGTACAGTACATCTTGCTAATATCTACTCTGCGACAGCAATTGCGTTTCAGTTGACCTACAAGAGCGGCTGGAGAAGGACCGGCACTCTCCATCAGACTCAAGCTCTTCATCGACAAATGTCCGTAAGGGTGACAAGGACAAAGTGGATGAGAATTCAATCCCGGCAGCAAAAACTGTCATCAAAGCCGGGATTCGAAAGGTGCTAGGTATGTTGACTTGCATTCTAAGTGAACCGACCTGCCTATCTAACGTCAACATTACAGAGCCATTCTCTCTCGGTATAAGCCTCGAGGAAATCCCTTGGGCCAAACTGGGCGGAAGTCTCACATGCGCTGGCATTAGGATTGAGAACTGGCCAAGAGGCGTTCCTTTTCCGTCTGCACCACCACCCAAAAGAGATGTTGCACCTGGGGCCACCGTGGTGAAGCGCAAGCGCCTTACGAGCCAGGGGATCAAAGACCTGGGTCATCGTGGAATTCGGTTGTTCACAGAGTCTTTTGGGAGTGATGCCACGAAGATTCATGTGGTTACTGCCAAGTCTGAGTGTGCGTACAGTTTTCAATTGGTGTACATTATTTTGGCTCATGTAACAACAGCCCTACTCGCCTCCAAGATTCCTCTGTTTGTGGAAGCCCCCCCAGGACCTGGCTCCCTCAACGTCATCTGCCGTGCCTTCTATAACGGCCACAAAGACTTCCTCACACCTGGTGATAGAGACTACAAGGCCATCTCCGGCCTGCACGTGGAACGTGAGATCATCGAAATCACATCAAGTCCCCCAGCAGAGACATCAGCTGCTCCACGCCGTACACACTCCAAAGTTAAAAAAGAAAATCCCCCTGACACTTCGCTTCTACAACCTTCAAAGAAACGCGTACCGAAGAAGTCGAAGGAGATGATCACGGACAGTGAGGAAATCAGTGACGAGGATTATGACCATGAACACCTGGAGAAAAAAGGGAAGTTGAAGGCAACGGCAACGGCAACCAAGGGAAAAGGCAAGGACAAAATGGCTCCTATCGATATTGATGCCCCACCAGTCATCCCACCCAACAAGTCTTCGCGCAAGTTTGCACCAACCCCTATTGCAACAGAAGCGAACTTGGGCCCACCCACCGACAAACCCAAGGTTGTTTTCAAGCCAATCTCGTCGTTCATTGCAGCTATGCAGGCTGTTGCGGCTGCAGCAAAAGCTAATACAGCGACCAATGCAGGGGGTGTTGCTATGGCAAGCGCCATCACTGCAGTTGCCAAACCCACACCACGCCCTGTCAAGAAACCAATGGTGCCCATCTTTGACCCAGGTGACCCTTTCCTCATCATGGGCGATTCTTTCCTTGTCAAACCCGCCGTTTCCACCAACGAGGGACTCCTTCAAGGCCCTGCACAACCCAGACACGCAAAGGCTCAAACTCCTCAACATACAGAGGCGACTGCTCCTCCAATCATCACCGATTCCACTACGACGATGGCCACTCACAAAAAACCTTCCGCCTTTGGTCCCCCTCGTCACCCCAGCACCGCTCCATCATCTTCGTCCAACGCTTCAAAGTGTGCAGGGGATGCGGAAAAAGTCACCAACATCATCACAGCAAAGAGGTTTTGCGGTGCCCTCAAGTCACCAAGTCCTGAGGGAGCCATGGGAGTCCAGGCAATGCAAGATTCAAGCAGTTGTGAACGCATGGCTGTTGAGGAACCAGCAGCCTCCTCAGCAGCCCAGCCAGCAGCCAACACATCTGCTCAGGGTTACCAGTGGCCCTACGGCCCCTACTATCCACCCTTTGGCTTTCCTCCAGCACCTGGTTGGAATTACCCATTGTGGAACCAAGACCGTCCTGCAGGGAGTGCAGGGGATCCAGCACCTGCCTTCCCCTTCCCTGCACACCCTATGATGGCAGGGGATTCAGTGCCTCCCTTCCCCTTCCCTACACACCCTATGATGCCCTTTCCGCCATTCTATCCAGGCACTGCCGCCAATTCTGCATCTGTCCCAGCAAAGCCAGCTGAAGGAGAGCCTGGCCCCTCGCGCTCAACTTAGTGCACTAGCGTTTTTGTGACATGTCTTCTCTTGCAACCTGTTGGACCATCATTGTTAGACCTTCCGTGCCCCTGCCCTCATACCACATTGTTATATTCTTGCTCATTTCTTGTATCCATCCCTCTCATTTATAATTTTAGTCTTGCCCTTTTCTTGTACCCCTCTCATTATTTACTTAATCTCTCTGTAATGTATGTCTTGTTAATCTCTCCGTAATATATTTCTTGAACCGAAAACATGGGAACTAAGTATGTGATATGTTAGGCACATCAAGCCTCACACCTGAGATGCCCTGCAGGCTTGTAACCTCGCACCTGACGCCCTTGTATGCTTATAACCTCACGCCTGACACTCTGGCCTCTTGGAACCTCACGCCTATAACCTGTGACACTGGGAGCTTCGTGCCTGACAGCCTGATGCCCCTACCAAGGCGAGAAACAGTGTGCCTTGCACGCAAGATCAGTCTCAGATTGCCTTCCCTATTTGGATTAATAGGGAAGCAGCAGTGGTGATACCTACCCATGAGGCCAATTCCTACCATCAAAAGAATCAGCCTCTGAGGTCCCCTGATGGTCAAAAGCGTCAGGCCTGAGGTGAGTTGGTCACAGTAGCAGTAGGTGGGATAATTAATATCTACAATGTGGCATTGGGGTTTCTACTAATGCAGTGGATCGATCCCTGCCAGCCACGGTTCTAATAGATGGAACGGCATCTGCGATAGCACGCATAATACTCCAGGCCTTGTGATGATAGGCAAAGCCTCCCAATTCAGGGTAAAATGTGAGTTCGTGCAACTGCCAATGCTTGTAAACATGGCCAATATGCAAGTAATTTTTGCGTTCAGACATCTCATGTTCAAATAATGTGATCTGCAAATTATTGTTTAGTTGGGATGAGGATCAAAGTGAACAGCTTACCTGGTTCTTTCCAAGGTAGTGTCCATCAAGCTGGAGTCCTAGCTTCTCAAGGGACAGGCAACGTTCCACAAACAAATCAATAAGTTGTGAAGTAATGCAGCCAATCCCCAGCCTGAGATCAACCAAGATATCACATTGGTTGAAAACTTTCAGGATCAGCTTGACATCCTGATATGAGAGGAATTCACCCATGGACAGCATGGTCAAGGTGTTTGAAGTCAGAGCCCCAAAGTACTTGATCACATCACCCTTGATTCCAGCAAAGCCAAAGTCGAGTGACAAAGTACAGAGAATGGGAAGAACAGGGAGCTTCCTGACAACATCTTTTTCTGATGAAACAGAGTCATTGAGAAGGTTTGGCATTGGAGGATCACGCCAGCCATGTTGGCGAATATAGAGTTCTTGAATCTTTGGATTATTTTGGAGTAAGTAACTCAAACATTTCCAGTTGAAACCATAGTCTGTATCCGGGAGCTGGAGTACATTTCCAATAAAAACAGCATTAATGCGCAAGATTTCAACCATCGGGCACAGAGGGAAAAAAGGAGCTATTGGGGTGATAAAATCATAGCCATAGATAGAAATTACCAAACGTGTGAGCCTGGAAAAGATGCCGGCAGATTGTAGCAATGTTTCAGCTGTTCTGAAGTCCCAAATTTTGACTTCCAAAGTCAACAGAGTGTTTCCAAAGGTCCTCCATAAGAATGAGAAGAGGGAGGAATGGAATGAATCCAGTCTTCCATTGTGAGTGTCAAAACGAGTGAATTCATCCTCAATGGAGAGCATTTCGAGGCGTTTGAGGCATGAAAGTGCATTAAAGAGCCGTTTTGTCTGTTCCTCGGGCGAGGGGAAACTTGGGATGAAACATTCCATGATCCACCCACAGAATCCCATCTGAGCTAATAGGTGAGGGACGAAAAGAATCCCCCGATAGAGTAGTGCCTCATACAGCCGAGGTGGGCAAATTGTCAACGCCGTCACCCAACAATTAATTAACGGGTCCCTGCGACGATCGATAATGCATGGCTGCCAGTGCTCAGATCAAGCTTACTTACAGGAGTTGTTCAATACTTTTTTCTAACAGTGTTGGGTCGCTGCGGGCCCTGCCAGTGATGCTCAGGCTGAACTTGTGGTAGAGTTTGTCCATCGCAAATTCAAAGAATGGACGGTTCATCCCGATAATTCTGCGAAGAAGGTGATTGTCAGCTTTAAGGAAGTCGGCAATGTAGAACCATATTTCGTTGGGAAGAAGCGGCAGTGGTGTCATTGCTGAATATGAAGGTGAAGGTAGTAAAACCTTGCCGTGAGAAATTATTGAAAAACCCCGCCTTTCCTCATCTCAAACTTCTGCAAAAAGCGCTCCCAGATCTCACCGACGCATGGGCACCAAGGAATATACATGATATCGTGATGTTTGGATAGTGATGCGCTAGGCAGGTAACATGATGGAAATTTCCAAACTGGAAGACCTCTAGCACCCCTGTATTCGGGACTGAGCCACTTTGGAGCCACTGGCAGGAGATGAAAGCAAGATGAAAGCCATGGCGAGGCGTCGAGGACCGGCTGCCATTGCAGGACCGGAATGAGCTTATCTTTTGGAGCTTCTTGTGTACTTACTTGTACCTTGGTGGTGGGCTGCCGACCCTTTATCAAACTCTCGAACTCGCCAGTAGTTGATCCCAAAGTCTACCTCAGTCTACAGACATAGAGCTATTGAAATATTACCATGTCCGCTTTGCCATCTCCATGCATTCAACTGTTTGTCTTGCCCCCACCCAACCCCCACTGGCGACTCAGAAAGGATAGCCAAGTGCATGGTGCATGCCAGTGGCAACTAAGCCTTGTACTTCGCGAAAAGCTGAATAACACCTCACTCGTCGTGCCAAAGTTGGTCTATCTGCCACTGTTCAATAATTGAAATTTGCCCGTATCTGAAAACTCAATGCCAAACCCTCTAATTCTTTCGTCTTCCGCCACACAGCGTCGGCGAGCTCAGGTGAGGTCAACAAAAAGACCATACTCCTTCAAGCAAAACCGTATTGGGACCAGACGCCTGCATCATTTTCATGATATCTTACGCGTATTTGTTTCAGTCTTAGCTTTTTCTTTTTTCTTGACAAACTTCGATGCAATGAACTAGATAGACATGTACATGATTGAGTAATGACTGTTTGATATAGAGTACATAGAGTGCGGAACGAACTTGAATCGATGAGACGGAGTAGACGATCTGTTAGACAGCAATTTGAAAACATAAAATCAAAGTACATCACGAAGCAACAATATTTCAAAACGACACAAACCCAAGGAAGGAAAATACAATCAATGCAAGGGAACCTGGGCAGTGCGAAATATGCCAAAGCCTCCGCTGCCTGGCATGTTCATATTGTGATGATAGGTAGCGGCAGCAGAGGCAACGTGATTGGCTGGCGGCGAAGGAGAGCCTTCTGGCCATGAAAACCTACAGATAACCATGGTCAGCGAAAGACGTCAGAAAGAGCAGCTGTCAATGCGAACTCACCCAGGCATCATCATATTCTGCCACCAGGCAGGATTTCTGATGGCCTGCATCGTGGCAAGAGTTTCCTCCTCAGAGAACCCAGAGTTGGAATATGCCGCCATTTCCAAATCATTTCCGAAATGAATCTGCCCCGTGCTCGCACCAAAAGTCGCCTCTGGCATGTAAATCGGAGTATCCATCGTCTGGCGCAAGTTATTCTGAGAGAAGGATGGATTTGGTTCAGCAACGTTGCTTTGGCCCTGCAGCTGCGACACGGAAAAGGTGATAGAAGCTGAGGCGGGTTGGGTTGGCCCGTTTGTCGCGGCGGTGTTGGGGGACAGTGGCTGTGGGTGAAGGCGACCTACGGTAACGCCATCCCTTCGGTGCCTGGATAGCAGGCCTGCGAGGAATCGGGCGTAGAGTTTGGGTGTGTGACGATCATCAATCGCTATCTTGGGTGAGCTGAGAGTCTGTATGAGCCGCCCTATCAAGTCGAAGATTTCGTTCTCCTGGTCTTTCGTCAGAAGTTTCCCGAACTCTGGTCGTAGGAGCTACTCAGACGAGTCAGTTGAAATCAGCCAAAAGGTTGACAAAGAAACCTGCCTTGAGAAGGAACGCAGAGGCAAACGATGCAAAAACGAAGTGGCCTTACAAAAATGTTAGATACACAACTTATGCATGACATCCTTCTTTCGCTACTCACCATCTGGGGCGTATCGCATATAGCCACTAGGAGCTAAACTCTCGATCATATTCTCAATGACCGATTTCGCAGCGTCCAAACACTGGGTAGATGGTCAGGCAGGTCGATCCAAGGCGAAGATGCACAAACCTTGTTGAAAAAGACATGGTCTCCTTGCCCCAGACCACGCTGATACGCTTGTTGAAACCCAAAAGAGAACATCACAAGCCGCGAATACCCGACAAGGCTGTGTACAGAGTGAGTTCATGGAATGGGTTAAACAATGAGATTGAGGCTTACAAGGGAAGAAGTTTGCATCGGAAAGCGCAACCCAAATCTAGACATGACTGTCAGTGGTCGAGGTGGAGGACAGTTGAGCATGTTACTTGCCACTTGGATCAGAACCCTCAGCAAATCGTTTTGACCACTCCTCGTGATACGCTGTGAGGTGCTCGTCATGTTTCAACGTCACTGTTCTGAAGTCGACCGTCTACCCAAACCGTCAAGGAGAGATCTGAACGACCAACAAGAATGACGTTACCTTGTTGAGACCACTTGACGAGGAAGGGTCGCTGAAAATCTCATCATGGAACTTGGCGACAATTTGGAGAAGCATAGAGTAAGCGCAAAGGTGGACGTCGTACTGCGCACTCATCAGCAAAAGTTTCAACAAAGTATGCAGCAAACTCACGGGGAGATTGTATCGCGACTTTTTATACCAGTCCTTTGCGTTTCGGACAATGCTGATTCAAAAGGTTAGCGAACAGGAACAAACATAGAAGAAAAAAACGCACAAATCTTCTTTAATCGTTGACGGCTTCCCAAACTGAGTCGCCGTAGATCGATCCAAATTGAAGCAGATCATCCAAACACGGGTCTTATTCATAATTTCCCGTTCCTGCCTCTCATTTTGCGGCTTTGTTGAAGAGATTTGATGCAAGTTGAGGTCAGTGGCGATTCTAGCAACGTCCATTGAGCTAACATCTTCCAGCTGGGAATGTAGAAGTACCTGATAGCAAGGCCGGTATACAGCCAACTTCTGTCTTCCTCCCATCTCCGAGCTGGGACGGCGTATATACTCATGAGGATATAGGCCTGGCAGAGCTCCACCGATTTCCAGCCATCGATCAGAGCGTTCGCAGCTGAGTGCTTGGCGAAGTGCATGGCTATTGGGTATATCTCCGACTTTTCAGTGTAATACCTTGATGACACTGCGCAGACTGTTGTATCGTCAGCCATACATACAGAAGGCAGATGAGAAGAGGGATACATACTAACGGTGAAGAGGAAAGGACACCGTGCAAATGTTGACGCAGGGGTATGAAGTACAGGGTCAAGTAAGGAGATGAAAGGCTGATGAGTGAACGTCAGAGACCTCTCTACGTTGTACGAAAAGTAAAAGCGTCTTACATCCAATTTCTGGAAAAATCTTTGTAGATGATAACTGTAAGTGTTACGCATGTTAACGAACGTGGAACATACATTTGGAACAGTTTTTCGACATCTTCAGGTGTAACTAAACCGTGGACGAGAATCTCTGGGGGACTGTGTTGTTCAATCAAGGTAGCCCGGATTCCAAGATCAGTGGCGGGGCCTACAAAATGATCGTCAGATAGGCTCTCATAATCAACATGCCTACTTACCAGGCATAAAGTACGTATCATTCGCGACGCCCTTTGAAAGAGCACGAAAACGTCAGAACGATAGAAAAAGGCGTCAAAGAAGATACGTACAACATTATCATCATCGAAATCCTCCTCATTAAGCAACCCATCCTTCGCAAAATTCTTCTTCTTCAGCTTACTATTACTCAAACTCAAATTGGCAATCAACCCAAGTGGGACATGCGAGTCCGGCAACAGCTTCTCAACGTCTGCACACGCCCCATCAGCACAATCACCACCAGAGTCATCTTCCTCTTGCGACGGGAGCACTCCAAAGGACTTCTTATGAGCCTCAGAAGACTCGACGTCAGAGTCATCGTCTCCCTGATTGCGGAGGTTGAGGAAAGCCCCAGGCCCGCCCCTCGAACCGGCATCTCGGACGCTCGATTGGAGGCGGTCGAGCCAGGCCAGGACGTTTCGGTTGTTTTGGTCCGACGGGGAGGTGGCCATACGGTAAGATGCGATGGAGAGCGGTGTGGCGAGGTATGGGTTGTGTAGCTATGAATAGCCGTGGGATATTATCAGCAACACAAGTCAAAAATAGAAGAGATAATGATGTATATACCTGCTTGAGCAACGACTCGATTATCGCGTCCTTCTGCCTGATTTGTGCGAGGAGGTATTCGCGTTTACTAGGAGGGAGAAAATCAGGATGTAAATCTGAAGTAGATGAAACTCGAGAAGGTGGACGGGTAGAAGGGGGTGAAGACATTGATAGCTCAGAGACGGGTGAAGAGGATCTAGTGGAGACCATCTTTGAAGTGCAGTGAAGTCAAGTGAAGGGGAAAAGGCGAAGGCGACTGATATAGATAGTCAAACCTACACTCGCACTTTTAAGCAAGCAGATAACAGGCCAAGAAAAGCCTATCAATCATATCCGCAATCCACAAAAATGACAAACCGAAACTGCGCTTTGAAAATCCCGTCCCAACGGGTAAAAAAATGCCGGAAGGACAAATGACAAGCACGAGACATGACAAGGGATGGACAGAGAAAATGCGGCGAAAAATGGTGACTCACTTCGGAGCAGTTCTGGGCTTCCGCCCTTCCACGACACATACATGTCCCCCGGACTTGCATCGCTTGCAGGTATTTTCGTGTTTCGGAAAGTCGCATTTCATCTGGTTTTAGTTAATCGGGATAGATTGCGAGGTGGCCCAGGTACATCCATGTGTAGGGTAGGGTAGACAGAGAGGGTAAGCGGGCAGTAACGCATGGGGGGTGGGTCCGGAGGAGGTCATTCCGGGTAGCAATATCACCAAAGGCGGCCGATGGATTGGAAGGAGGAGATGACGTCGGATACGAGGGTTGATGTGAATGAAGGGATAAGCAACAATTCGTTAGTAAAGCTATCACGGCACGCAGAAAGACCGAAAAACGACATGGAAAAAGAGGGAGGGAGGTGGTGCGTGTTTGTGCGTACCTTGAGTTTCTTGCAGTGTGTGCATGCTCCCGGACTAGGTTTGGTTTAATTCAGGAGAACCCAAACATATGCATGGACATCGGGAAAGATTGAGTGCGTCCCATCCGACCGATGCGAGATGCGAGGAGTCCATTGGTCGATTTAGAGTTTGGTTCGTTTTCGGAATAGAATTGAGGAGATTTGGCATAATTGAGAAATACGGAGTGATTGGCGTTCCGAGATGATGAGGCAGTGCGTTCATCCGCACGGACGTGGCGCAGGGCAGTGGCGCAGCAGCAGATGGACGGAATGTGTTGAATGGAGCGCCACCAGGTGAATGTAGATGTATTCCATTGCAGCAACGCGTGAAAAGAGGAAGAAGGGGTGCAAAGGAAATTGGTGAGCAAACGGCAAAGCAGTGGGAAAAAAACAAAGCAAAATAAAGGGAAAACAAAATGTGGCAGAGAACACCGCCACGCAAAAAAAAAAAATCGGCCGCATACGACAAGATGTAGCCGAATTAAACGGCGGAGAGGGTAGCCCATGTTGAAGCGGCGTAATGTTCATTCAAACCCGAGGTCGACGAGAGGTTAACGCCACAGGGTATTGACCGAGACAATTTTGGTGCAGAGCCACACGGAGTAAGGTTATATGAAAAGAAGAGAGAAAGCGCAGTCAGTTCCGGTTCTTCATCATCATAGACGACTGAGTGAATGCAAGAAAGAAGACCGGACGGGCAACACGAAACTATCGCAGCAATCCCGCAGTTGACGATATACGCAGCAACCCATGGGGAAACCAAGGTCTTCCAACCAAAGGCTTCATCAACCAAGGCTCCCCACCAACAATCTCCTCCGCACACGCTCCCCCTCCCCCCATCTCTTCCAAAAACACAACAACAAAGAAAAAGATGAAAAAGAAAGAAGATCACTCACAGCCGACTCCGCCCCCCAAACCCCCTCCCCCTCTTCACACCCTTACTAACAACCCCCAACCCACCCAACCCAACACCAATCCCACCACCATCAAAAAAACCCTCATCGTCCGAATCGTCACTATCCGAATCGCTCCCTGGTTCCCCAGCAAATTCAGTCCACGGTACAATTTTCAGTTGCCCATTCCCATTCCCGTTCTGTTGTTGCGGGTGTGGCCGATGTTGGTTTTGAGGTGGTGAAGAAGACTCTTCACCCACACCCCTCTTCACCCTTTTCCGTTTTGACCCCGTCTTCGTAACAATCCCAGTCCCAGTTCCATTCGCTTTAGGTGCCTGGGCTGCTGGTGGTAGCGGTGGACCAACGAGCAAGTGATGCGAATGTGTTTGTTTTTGGGGTTGGTGCGAAGTACCATTGATCCCATTAGTGCCAGGGGGAGAACCCCCGGGACTCAACTCAACCGTACCCACAGGTCTTCTAATGTGCGTTGACCTCCCCGCCGCGCCATTCCCATTCAGTGCACCATTCTGTCGTTGTGGATGTTGTGGTTGTGGTTGTGCATACGTGCCCCTTCCATTCACCGACGGCGGGCTCGGATGCGCGTTTGGATAACTCGCATCATCAGTCCACGACACAGAAGCCGGGGATAAAGAAGCAGAGTGTGTAGATAGCGTGTTAGACCCGGATGAATAGGCCTGCTGGTGATGAGGAGAAAGATGCTGTTGGCGTGCATGGGAAGGAGCGGGTTGGGTGGGACGTTGTGGTTGTGTTTGCTGCTGATGTTGCGTCTGTGCACTCGAACGCTGCTGTGGGTTCGTTTGTAAAGAATGAGGATGAGAATGCGTAGGTTGCTGATACGCCGAACTAGGCGTCTCCGTATAAGTTGATTCAGACATGGCCCTTGGATGATACGACTGAGGCGAGACAGAAGATGAAGACGCGCCAGCCGTAGCCGCCAAAAGGTCGTAATAGGGTTGATAGCCTTCCCTCGAATTGTCGTAATCATCCGAAGGCGCGCCCACATTAGATTGAGTGACCGTGCCACCCGATGCTGATTCCGCGTAGGCGCTCAACGAGTGAGGAGGCGTGTATTGCCCAGCGACAAAGTTGAACTGGGTCTGTGGCATTGGCTGGTACCCCCTGTGCTGGTGGTGCTGCTGCTGCTGAAGTGCGTCGTACGCTGTAGTAGCACCCCGCTGCTGGTTACCGAACATTTCAATCCATTGCTGGTACTGCTGTGCATGGCTGTCTCTCAGCTGTTGAGAGTTATCCTCTGGGTTGTAGAACGTTGATGGAGGGCCGATCATAGGTGTAGAGGCAGACGGTGCAGGTAAAGGCTTGTCAGCAAAGTACCACAAGCTACTGCTGGGTGCTGTAGTACTGTCTAAATGAGAAGACGACTGGGCTTTGAGGACGAGGTGAGGATGAGTAGGAGTATAACGATCGATGTGAGTTGAGACGTACTGTGTTGAGCAATCTGATTTGGGGGGTTCATCGACGAAAATGGCCCGGAGTCGCCACTTCCTGCAGCAGCTGATGGATGCATGCTGAACGACAAGTTGGAGGAGTATAACAGGACTTCCTATGCCCGGTTATTCGCACCAGCTGCACGGAGGAAGGGATGCGCCGAGGGGAAGGTCGCTTACTATAAACAAATATCAGAATTATCATAAACACTCATTTGCTTGATGGCATTGGCAGCTCGTACCTTTTGCTAAGAACCTTATTAGCAACAGCGAGAATGAGGATGAAAAACGCAGTCAAAAGGTATCCATCTGATCTCTGTAAATCTCTCCATTTGTTCCAGAATCCAGACTCAACCTTCCCTGACGACGTTGAGTCGAAAGATTCACGGAGAGCCGCATCGTTGCAGCAAGCAAACTTGGCAATCAGAAGTCACAAAGTTAACATCACACGTGCTAGATCAACGTCAACATCGACATCCTCCAACTCCAATCCCACCAACTTCACACCATTCCAGAGCCAATCTTCCTTGAACCTTCTTATTCTCCTCCAGGCAATCCTCCCCAAAATGGAAGTTTGACCCCAAACCCACGGATCCCTCCCCTGGAACGGCGCGATCATGGCATCATTACTTGGTGTAAAAGAAACTATGATGGTCCTGTCCTTCTTCAAAATGCGGGTTCGTTATGGATATACGCCTCACCAGTCACTACTGGTACTCGGCATAGTCTGCGCACGGCATGCGAGATAATATGGTATGACTCAAGCCTCCTCTTTCCTCCAACTCCGTTGCGGACGGACCCCAGTTAACGCCTAACTAGCCTGGTTTGAGGTACTTAAGTAATTGAACGTGCGCACCCTATTGATAAGAAGTACATTCATCACCTCTCCGATGAGAAGCCTAGGACCCTGGAATGTGCCCTCAGAGGCCGTATCCGGGTCAATTTGAGAAATTTTGATCAGTTTTGAGCAAAGATTGCACGCTGGCGGACGACCTCAACAAGAAATTGTGCTAGTATCCTAATGAAAGATGAGCATATACATAGAAGGAAGCCATAGGCAAAGTTTGGGAGAAAAAGACCCAAAAATGCGCCCTCAGGGTCCAATTTACTTGACCGGATAGAAATTTCACTTTTGGGCGAAGTCCGGATAGAAACTGCTCCTTTTCATCAGTTTTTTTTTTTCGAAAAGGACGCCCAACCTTCTAAACGATGCACAGATAAACTCGAAATCCGTGGGAATTTTTTCACCACCAAGGATACGGCCTCTGAGGGCACATTCCAGGGTCCTAGAAGCCTTCTCTGGAACATGAGCGACTGCGATGAAGGTCACGAGCGGCATTGGTCAGTTTCTTGACCGATAAGATTTAAAATCTAAGATTAAAGATACGCCGGGTCATCATGATCAGATTATGAAGCCAGGGTGTGCCTTTTGATAGAATCACAGCCACCCTAAAAGGTACGCTCTCCCCTTGCCCGTCGACCTTGTTCTCACAAACTCCTCCATTGTTAGTACAATGCACATAGGGTCGGTTCTCAGCCATCAGTACCGCAGCAACTTTTCCCCTCAAGGCCCAGGCCAAGTGCTTTCGGTCGTACTTATCAGTTAGTGGAGTGATAAGGTACATACGCCTGGTCATCAGCGCGCCTTTGACGTGCAATCACGGGGAAGCCTGCATTCAAATTTTAAGCCGCCCAACTTTGAACTATGTACGTTACTGACGTGTGTCTCGTCGCATTTCTTCTCACCAACTCCTCCGTTGTTAACTTCTTGAAGTAGGATCTAACATACGCTGAAATCTCAGCAGTCTTGGCTTTCACAAAACCCTCAGGCGTCAACCCGCAAGCTGAGAAGCTCCATAAATACTCTCCAGATAAACATCAACCCTCCCCCCTGCACGCGTCACCTTCTCCCGCGAACGCAAACATTAACTCTGGAACACGTAAAGGCCCAAGGGACAGTACCCCCACATTTTCGAATCCGGATGACACTTGAAGCTCGAGCGCTCCTTATCGGTCCGAAAACACGTTAACGGAAATGAAATTAAGTCGGCCCCGATCGTGGTATGTCAAAATAGGCAACAAAAAGCTGCACCGCATTCTTTTTCAATCCAATTACCCGGAGTTGGTGGGCTTTGGTGGGTGGTCTTCCTGAATCCTGGTAAGTCGAGGAGGTGGGGAACGGAAGTACTTATGGATGAATAGGTGGACGGGGAGCTAACGAAAAAAAAAAAAAGTGGTGTTCGTGCAGTGCCAGGGCGTGGACTACTTTGTAGTAGCCTGGACGGTTTTTGACTTGATCTTGATCTGACGGAAATACTTATTGTGTCATTGTCAATCCCAGTGATCCGAAGCTTGAAGCTTGACAAGCTTGACACTTCAAGCTTGTTGATGAATCGGACGAGGTGAGAAAGTGTGTATGCAGGAGGTACGTTCATTCGATTCGAGAAGTGCGTTGGTAGCTCCCTACTTACTTCATGCTTCAGCTATTACAGGCTCACATCCACATCCCTAATTCCACGGGATTCCGTACGTGCCTTGAAGAATCAGTAAGGTCACACACGGTGAAGGTGCGTACCTTGATTCAAACGTACTTCAAGTTCTGCCTTCCATCCGTGTATACAGGGGTAGATTTTCAGAAAAGGCTAAGAGACTGCCACCAATCCAATCTTTTTAAAAATGAAAATTCTTGCGAACACTTATAGGCGCCTTCTGCTCACATTCGGAGTTGGTGGGTGGTCCTCCTGACGTACGAAATGGAATTGTGAAGGGTCATGGATGGGCTTGACGGAACGCTTACTGTGTCAGTCCTTCATAGTGATCCGAACTTAAAGGTCTCCAGGTCCGGCAAAATACTTGGTCGTGAGCCTGCAATGGAGACGCACATTCGAAATTTAAAACTGAAAGTGCGTTCGCGGCTTACCTCTCTCTACTTCAGTCATGCAACTTCACACTCTGATTTCACAGGGCGTACCTTGATCCAGACGTACCTCCGCCTTCCGTCCTATCCAGGGGAGATGAAAAGAGAGGTAGGGATGCTTAAACTAACCTCCAATTTTTTTAAAACACTTATACAGCTGGCCCTCTCGGAATTGGTGGGTATTCCTCCTGACAGCCTGAGGCTGATGGCGTGGATTGCCGTTAATCCTGGTGATCCGACCTCCAAGCTTGAAGGTCTGGAGGTCGGACAAAATTCAAATGTAAATGGTCGTGTGAGGAAACTTTGGAGAGATACGTTTAGATTCTAAAATTGAGAAGTGCGTTAGCGGCTTACCTCTACCTCTACCTCAGTCATTCGACTTCACGTCCTAATTTTACGGTGTGTATCTTCCAAGTTATGCCAGTGGTTGCGAGAAGCGTGATAAAGCCGACTCCACATAGCGCATTCGGACTACAAGGGACGTACCCTGATGAGCCACGCGCACCGTGAACTGCGGTATAATTCTGTACCTCAACTGCCTACATACAGACCTCATCTTTTGAACTTCGCATTATAATTCCACAGGACCTAACTTGAGGAACCACCCGGGTATCGTGGTGTACCTTGGTACGGACGTATGTACTTCCATCCATGAAGCCAGCTATCAAAAGAGAAAACAAAAAAGGCAACGAAGACTACCTGCCCTGACTTCGAGTACCTTGGGCCCTCCTCAACTTTATATTCTAATTAAACGAAACGTACCACTGTGATATGCGCATTTTGATCCACTGACGGGGAAACCGGAAAATGGCGGGACTGCTGCCTCTTGCTGCCTATCCTACACCCCAATTTTGCATTGTAATTCCACGGTGTGCACCTTGAAGAACCACTAAGTATAGTTCTGTGCCTTGATCCAGTGTACGCACTTACATACCTATATCCAGGGAGAACAAAGGTGGTCAAGCCTAGGCCGCTTGAACCTAGGGGTAAGTATCATGCGGGAATATACACTGGACTTGCCGATTCGAAGGCGATTGTGTACAACGAAGTACAAAGGGGTGTGAGGAATTGGGGAGAAGGATTCCCCTCCTTAATTCGTTCCTGTTCTATATTTCATGCATTACCGATGGTCTTGTACCTAAGAAGCATGGAAAATCCAGGGCTCATTCGTATTGACTAAGTTCAAATACAAGCTCGACGCCAAAGTTGTTTCATTTCGAGAGGTTGCGAATCCATTTAGATAAGATAAGATCAAACACGGAACAACAATCATTACTTCATCGATTCATCCATCGACATCAGGCGTGGTCAGCGACTCAGCGTCAGCAAACTGTCCTGTGGTTGGCTCTATCTCTTGATGCAATAAACCTCACGCACATATCCCGACCCTTTCAGTCTGACATACCTTCCTCTTTCCGTATCCGAATTGCCTCTACAAAAGACGCCATCTCACTCTCACCTTCCCACTCTGCAACAACGCTTATATGGATCTTTCTGATCTCCAGGGTCTAGAAGCAGAAATCGAACGAGTCAAGGCTGCTATACAAGGCCTGAGAGAGGAGCAGACACATCTACAGTCCCTGCGCAATCTCAAACTCCCTTTTTTCCATCTCCCTCCTGAAATATGCGTCACTATATTCTCGTTTGCTTGTCACAAAGGCCGTCTTCCCAACGATCAGAACCAGGAGGTAGTAACGACGCCCTTCACCATAAGTGGTGTCTGTCGTGCTTGGCGCGCTCTAGCACATTCAGTGCCTGAGCTGTGGAGTTCGGCATTGCTTTGTGTTGGCTCAATGATTACATCTAGGAGATCAAGGATACAGGCAGAACTTCTTCGTCAATGGTTGCACCTTGCAAAGACATTGCCATTATCGATATCAATCACATTCGACGAGCGATTTGCTTTTGAGACCCTGCTGGGCATTGACAGTCAAACCGCTATCATGGTCGCCACCTCTCATTCCCACCAATGGGAGTCGGTTGATCTCACTCTCCCGTCAGGCTTGCTCTTGTCAATTGGTTGCAGGCCCTTTCCAAACCTCCAATCACTCAGCTTGCAACTCACACGAGAAATTTCGTCAACTCCACCACTTCCCATATTTCTTGATGCACCCACACTCCGTATTGCAAATAAAAATGTGGAATTGCCCTATCACCAACTGGAGGAGCTTACTTTACGCGGATACGATATTGCACCCTGTCTCAGCCTTCTTGGCAAATGCTCGAATCTTACATTTTGCAGAATAGTCAAAGTGTCAACTAACTGGGGAAGGCCAGCTGGAGACACGTCTCACTACCTTGAGACCATGCACGAGGAGGGACGTATGTAACATACCTCGTCGATGGCGACGGTGCGACATACACTGGCAACTGACTCGGCTAAATGCCCATAGAAACTCGCGGGAACAAAGTTCGGTCTCTCCTCTCTTGTTAGCTTAACCTCCTGGAGTTTAGAAGGTGTAAGACGAATGGGGGTAACGACGAAATTATTGGCCATGGGTGGAGGTTGTGAGTGAAACGGATGACTCGGACGCACCCCTTTCAAAATTCATGATCAAAGACGCGACACCTGGAAATGCCAAATCCAGAAAGCCGCCGATCCCGCTGTCCAGACTTCGCACGGCACCTCTCTTCTACCAAACACGTACAATACCATCCAGTCGCTTCAAGGTATGTTTTTCATGCAAGGTACATATTGCTTCATTAACGAACGAATGCTGACTCCTAAAAGATAATAGAGTTACAGTCGTGCAGCTTCACATTCGGTCGAAGTAGTTGTATCTTGTATTAGTAGCAGGTGCTCGCTGATTATTCGCATGCTGGACTAAGTCCCAGGGAGCATCGAGGGCCCATGTTCAGGCCACCAACTGGACAGACAAATAACTCAATAGGAGGTCTGAAGAATACTGGCGACGAGACACATACTTACACTGATCGCACAAGGTCTACACATTCCAGAGGTATGTAGTCCATGCAATACTACGGGCAACAGGTTCGAATCGGGTCATACATCCGGTGGAAGCAATATGCTAGGTATGATCCAAAAGTCCATTCACCGCACACGCAGCCTTGTCCGACTTTCTCCAACCTCGACCTCAATCCTTGTAAAACCCTTCCAAACCCTGAACGGTCCCAGCGAGATCCTTCATATCACCCTTCGCACCCGACGCGCTCTCCATATCCGGAAGGCAAATTTTGCCAAGGGCCTTCGCATGATAGCGCTGCACAACGAGACGGCCGATGAGCATCAATGCCGCGGCGAACGAGAGGTAGGCCCACAAGGGGATGGATGGGGTACGGATGATTAGAGCGGGTTGCACGAAAGCATGCGGAGGGAAGGTAGGTGGGATCTCAGCAAGAGACCCATTCTTGCCAGCGTGCCAGGGTTGCGGGGCTAGGAACAGTGGCAACTCCTGTTCATCGTCGTGACAGAGCTTTAACCCTCTATTGTTTGCTATAAGTGCAGCGGCACCCCACGTCCAAGGCTCGCTCTTCCTCATAGAGACTGGTTTCGGTGCGTCTTTCAATATGTGTAGCAACGTCGCCGCGAGAAGACAATGCCTCTGAGTGTACTCGTCCGAGGCGTAAGGTAATGTACCAACCCATTCCTTCACATTATCCCAACTCTCGTTACAGTACCCCAACACAGCTGCGTTGAATGCAGCAGCGTTATAGGGATTGCTGGCAATGTACCCGGCGCCATGACGTTGGCTGAAGAATTCATAGGTGTGCCAGTAATTCGACAACGCCTCGAAGCTGGTTATGTTGGGAGAATTAGGAAGTGCGGGGAATTCGAAGCCTTCGTATACATTGGTAGCGATTTCATGGCAAAGTTTAAAGTCGGCTTTTCCTGTATGCTCCACGCCATTCTTGGCCTTGACCTTCTGTCCAGTTGGAAGGCATGGGTTTTCATATCCGACAAGCTGTTTGACGAACAGGTTGTTGTAGGCATCTACCCCAAATTCATCCCAAGAGCGCGCATAAACATTTTCCTTTCGGTTCTGTGACCTAATGGCAGGTATGTTGGTACATACGGAAAGCGCGTGGGGGTCCAAATTGTCCTGGACTGCGTATGCAAACTGGTGGGAAGCCCCTCCCATTTCCAATACTGCTGTTGTGTTGCCTTGATCATCGGGGCGCCCGTAGTTCAAGTACGTCCACACAAACAACCCTTCCTGTTGTCCGGGTATCGTGCGGATGTTCGTGGTATGAAATCTGAAATAAAGGCTGTATGATCGGATAAATTCACCAGCATGGTGAAGGACATAATCGTAACGAGCCACATGCTCTCGCCCCAAGTTTCGCATTCCTGCTGTGGCCAAAAGGTAGATAACTGTGTTGTCAGGAGTTGATGCATCGGCACCTCCCAGAGGCCTGAGATGGTTGACCGCGGCATCAAGGATAGGGCCGAGATGCGCTTTAACGTCCTGTCCGGTAATTGCGCAGTGAATGCCTGAGAATCAGTTTGAGTCAATGATATAGAGGGAAACGGAAAGGCGGAAACTTACCACCACCGCAGGTCCCTATCTCATGCCGCGATTTTGCATCCTCGAATATCTGGTTGATTCCGAGACGGGCCCAAGGCGGCTCAGCACCAATATATGGCGACCTGAAGATAGAGAGCCTAGATCCTGTCGAGCCGGCGTCGATGAGAACAATGTACCTGGTTGGCGCCATGTTGAGTGAAGAGCCGTGTTCCCTCTTTTCGGTGAGGCAGAGTCAATATGGCTTTTATATGTCGAACCCAGCGGGAGACGACAAATTTAGATTGGAGGCGCTTGCCACGTCTTCGCAAAGACATACGGAATGGAAACGCGACAATCTGTTGGGAACGACCACCAGGAACAAGGCAAAATATGACCTTAGCTTGTTCGCGTGGAGAAATCCAACAAAGCCAGATAATTCATTTGACTTTATGAGGCCGCAGATGTCGTAACATTCAAGTTCAGATCGCCATGTCAAGAGGTGTCAGACGCTGAGCATACTGGCAAGACGGAGATCTTGAGACTGGATTGTTTCTAGCGGCAGGATCGGGGCATACCCATTATCATACGGATGGTGAGCCGTTCGAGGTGGTAGACGACTGTTGTGACCGTAATAGGTTACTATCACGTGAAGTCAACATTCTCCTCCTCCCCCCACGACGCGCGCTTCCAAACACGTATCATCCAATCGCTTCAACCTTTCTGTTTTCTATGCCAGGTACTTATTGCCCCATTAACAAACGAACAATGCTGATTCCTGAAAGATAATAGAAATACAGTCGTGCAGCTTCAGCGCAACGACAAAATACACTACTCTACATATGATAAATACCACTAATAAATAGTTCAAGATGTCGCTGGCCACGGTTACACCTTCCAAGGACTTGCCTTGACGCGTTTCAGTGACCGTATGCCTTCCAGTTCCGATCTGTGCCCAGCACGGCTGACACTCGCACCCTCATTAGATTCATCCAGATGATGTTGTGGTAATTTCAAAGACAACGTCCTGCGTCTGCTCTCCACCACGGGTGTGCTATCATGCATCATCATCTTTTCGTTCGACTCGGTGTGGCCGAAGAACAGGGGGTTGAAAGAGAACCCAACGTATGGGCCCGTATCGAGTTTTCGGATAGGCGACAAGGGGGAGAGAGGCTTGGAGGATACTGCATGAGGAGGGACCTTCAAGGCCAACGAACTCCCTCTGCGGTGGGTCCTCTTCGGCGACTCTCGGTCAATGCGTGTCTTGGCACTGAAGGGTGGTGATTCGACGCAAGTCGAGGAAGACATGTTCGACATGACTTCCACATCACTGTCAACCTCCCTGCCAACACCCCAGCCATCATCAAGTTTCCTCTTACTCGACGCAACCTCCTCACACAACCTCCCCTCCAGCTCATTCGAAAGATCCTGCTCAACAAGACTCGCCTCCCTAGCCAACTTAAGCCTCTCTACCTCCCTCGCGAGTTTCCTATACTCGCGGCTCCATTCCCCCGTCACCTCCAAAATCTCAAGCTCATGCGCCTCCTTCATCTCCCCAACAACCCTCCTGCTCTCCTCCAACTCTCTTATAAGATCCTTCACAAACTCCTCTAAAAGCCTCTCCTTCCGGACATCCAACACCATCTGCTTCGCAGCCCGCGTAACAGCCGCCACCCTCGACCGCTTCATCTTCTCCCCCTCCGCGATGAGCTCGTCGATCTGTCGCTGCATCTTCCATATCTGGTTGGCGAGCAACAGGCGATCGCAGAACGCCTTGAATGCGTTGGAGCATTTCGCCGCTTTGGTGGAGCGGAGTGTGTCTCGGAGGCCTTTGATCTCTCGTTGTTGTTTCCAGACGCGGTTCATCAATAAAAGCCGCTCGCAAAAGTTGGAGAACGCTGAGCTGGCGACGGCGTTCTGCTGACTTTGAGAATGTTGGGCGGGCATGATCGCAGCAGGGCTGGTACGAGGAGTGTTATAATGTCGCGCAGAGAGGTTTCCCTTCGTCCACGCTACGAGGGGGAGGTTACGCGGAGAGGGGAGTTTGGAGTGCATCTTTTTTTCTAGCTGCCGATCGAGCTCTTTGAAATCTGCGAGGACTTGGTTGGCTCTGGCTGCGAGGTCGTGGAAGGGATGGGGAGGGGCCGATGGGGCGACAGTGGTGGTTATTGGGGGTAGAGGTTCTGGGCGGTATGATATCCTGACAGCGACGTCAATCACCAGCAATAATATACAAGGCGGGAGGAGGTAGAAGAAAACGCTGGACGAGGGCGGTGTAGAAGAAGCGATGAAATGTGAGACCTGCTCTTGCAACGTATCGCTGCTGGTGTAAATGGCGGGATGGGCAGAATCCATGGCTGCGTTAAAGTAGTGTGTTGGGCCGATTATAAAGTATTGTTTTTCTGACAATAACGGCAGGGGGCAACGGAATGGGAACAAGAGAGGTGACGACAGACGTCGATCTTTGTGAAGGCGGAGAACGTACGGCTTTTACTGGATGCTCAAGGACACAGCCCTACGACGCATGGAGGCCTCAAGTTTTTCGCTCCAGTGATTATCATTTCAATCCGGGACGTCTGTCTGCACACGCGATTTACATGAGGTACAAAGGGTCACGTGGTTTAATTTTGGACAGCAGGATCGGCGGCTCTCTGGATTTGGCATTTCCGCGCGTCGCGTCTTTGATCATGAAAGGGGGTGCGTCCGAGTCATCCGTTTCACTTCCATCCTCCAACCCATGGCCAACAATTTCGTCGTTACCCCCATTCGTCTTACACCTTCTAAACTCCACGAAGTTAGGCTTACAGGAGAGGAGAGACCAAATGTTCCCGCGAGTTTTTTTGGGCATTTAGCCGAGTCAGTTGCCAGTGTCTGTCGCACCGTCGCCATCGATGAGGTATGTTACATACGTCCCTCCCCATTCATGATCTCTTTCACTAAGCTCCACCGTCGTCAGACCGTAGCAGGCCGAAGATTTTTATCCGGTTTCATCTTGACCCACCTTGCTGCGTACTTCAGTTCTATTGATGGGGCTGAGATACAAATCATTCCCTTTGACGAATCCGATATTATTGACATGGGTCCAATTGTGGACTTTGTAGTCTCCAAAAGTGGAACGCCAATCGGAAGTATGTTCCAATCACAAGAAATCCTGAATGACGTCTTAAATTTGCCTCTTTAGGGCGTTTAGTTGAGATACCTATGATTTTCACCACAAACAGAGACGACATGGCCAGCCATCAGTTTTGCGCGGTTTTCCAAACCGACCACCTAATGCTAAGTATGTACTCCTGGAAAGGTTTTGCCGTCGTCCTGGCGGGTGAGTATGATTCTTGCTTCCATCACATGCCTACCTCAATACATGATTACAGCTTGAATGCCCTCCGAGGGTGTGTTACCAATGGCTTCGACTGGAAGTTCTTCATTTTCCGAGTACAGAATGGCAAGCAAAATAAGGGGGAGCTTTTGGTCCTCGACACTATAATTTCTTACACCGACCTTCCGCTGCTGATGCGTGTTCTTTATGATTGAGTGGGCTAACTTGAACTTATTCCTTGCTTTTGAGGGCGCAGCTTCCCTGAATAATTCAGGTGAAAAATTGCAGGGATGAAGACCCGCAGTTTTGTGAGGTCGCGTGCTAAGCAGTTCGTGGAAGAGAGTACGAGGTAACTTGGAAAAGCAGATGATAAACTTGAGAAGAAGAAGAAGAAGAGTAAGTTTAGTCCGACATGCACCAAAACCATTGTGCTTCTAAAGCTCACAACTGGTTAAAGGGAGACTTGAGGGGATTTCAGGGGCGTTTTCGGCCATTTTTATTCTTTCACTCAAACTGTAGAAAATGCAATGTAATCATGTACTTCGGATAGTAGGATTCAGATAGAATTAATGTTCATGGCGAGACTCGACGAAAAGTATCGTTCTCAGTACAATATTCCTAGATATATCGATAGAAAAGAACATCCCTTCAGCCATTACAGCTTGGTAGTCTGGTCCAAGACATCTCGCGTATGTAAAGCACCTTAAAAAGTCGTGATGCTGGGCACGTTCACCCAATAACTTCATATTCCTGTCTTCAACGATGCTATGAGGCAGCCAAGCCCTCCGGTTCACGAAAGCGTCGAAATGCTCCAACGCATTCAAGGAGTTCTGCGATCGCCTGTTGCTCTCCAACCAGATATGGAAGATGCAGCGACAGATCGACGAGCTCATCGCGGAGGGGGAGAAGATGAAGCAGTCGCGGGTAGCTGCTGTTACGTGGGCAGCGAAGCAGATGGTGTTGGATGTCCGGAAGGAGAGGCTTTTAGAGGAGTTTGTGAAGGATCTTATAAGAGAGTTGGAGGAGAGCAAGAGGGTTGTTGGGGAGATGAAGGAGGCGCATGAGCTTGAGATTTTGGAGGTGACGGGGGAATGGAGCCGCGAGTATAGGAAACTCGCGAGGGAGGTGGAGAGGCTTAAGTTGGCTAGGGAGGCGAGTCTTGTTGAGCAGGATCTTTCGAATGAGCTCGAGGGGAGGTTGTGTGAGGAGGTTGCGTCGAGTAAGAGGAAACTTGATGATGGCTGGGGTGTTGGCAGGGAGGTTGACAGTGATGTGGAAGTCATGTCGAACATGTCTTCCTCGACTTGCGTCGAATCACCACCCTTCAGTGCCAAGACACGCATTGACCGAGAGTCGCCGAAGAGGACCCACCGCAGAGGGAGTTCGTTGGCCTTGAAGGTCCCTCCTCATGCAGTATCCTCCAAGCCTCTCTCCCCCTTGTCGCCTATCCGAAAACTCGATACGGGCCCATACGTTGGGTTCTCTTTCAACCCCCTGTTCTTCGGCCACACCGAGTCGACAGCCAACGAAAAGATGACGGTCCATGATAACACACCCGTGGTAGAGAGCAGACGCAGGACGTTATCTTTGAAATTACCACAACATCATCTGGATGAATCTGGTGAGGGTGCGAGTGTCAGCCGTGCTGGGCACAGGTCGGAACTGGAAGGCATACGGTCACTGAAACGCGTCAAGGCAAGTCCTTGGAAGGTGTAACCGTGGCCAGCGACATCTTGAACTATTTATTAGTGGTATTTATCATATGTAGAGCAGTGTATTTTGTCGTTGCGCTGAAGCTGCACGACTGTATTTCTATTATTATTTTTAGGATCAGCATTGTTCATTTGTTAATGGGGCAATAAGTACCTTGCATAGAAAACAGAAACTTGAACCTTGAAGCGGTTGGATGATACGTGTTGGTAGCGGCGCGCGTCGTGGGGGAGGAGAACAATTTCAACGGCACGTGACAGTAACAACCTGTACTCAAATCGCTTACTACTCTGTCCCCTTCATCCACCATTCAGATTATCCCTACTTAGCTTACTTACATCTCACTCACAACGAGCTGGCGAGGTATCTCTCGTAGTTACCTGAATTACTTATGTAATGTAGTCAGCCAATTTATTATTCTATTCTATACTACTACTGTGGTATTTCGACCAACTGTTCGGTCACTCGTCACGTCGAGCTCTGAACCGAACAGATCTGAATAGGGTGACATTTTACCCTAAAAAGGAAAGTCTCTCCAAAAACTCATTTTCTTCGCTGCGCAGTGTACATCTATTACAAAATTATACACCATCCACTAATCTGAGAAGTTGGAGGAGGCAGGAAGGTTGCTACCACATGCCATGTCAACTGCTCAACGAACAGTTGCCGCTGGCCGAACACTTTTGTTGCTGTGTCACACAGGCATCCCAATTTCGAACACCCCTCTCATCTGTTCGAGGCCGTCACGCTCAGTAAAGAGCGAAGTCGGAAGTTGGTCAGAAGAAAGTCACGAATTTGAGGTTGTATGACTAAATGTCGTTTTTTTTAAGCGTTTCTGACTACGCTCGTATTACAATAGTCATACATTAGTTGCACACTGCAAATCATATATTATGCCACAGTCATGTACTGGTCATATAATGGTCATATCTTAGTCATGTAATAGTCATATCTCAGTCATTGATTGCTTGGGCTCAATTTGGGTCAGGAAATAGACTGAATAAAATTGTATTTGACTACTTTAAAGAATACATGTAGTGGGCCTATAGCCTACGAAGTATAGTATGAGGGGACTACTGTTCATCAAGGGAAGAAAGGGACCGTTCGTCGAGGGAGGGGGGGGGCCGTTCGTCGAGGGAAGTACGAGAACCATTCATTGAGGGAGGGATGAGGCCGTTCGTCGAGGGAGGGAGGAGGCTGTTCGTCAAGAGAGGGATGAGGCTGTTAGTCAGGAAGGGGGAAAGCTGTTCGTTGAGGGAGGGGAGCCCATCGGCCAAGGGAAGGACGAGACCGTTCGTTGAGGGAGGCAGGAGGCCGTTCGTCAAGGGAGGGAGGAAGCCGTTCGCCAAGGGAGGGAGGAGGCCGTCCGTTGAGAGAGGGAGCAGGCTGTCCATCGAGAGCGGAAGGAGGCCATTCGCCGAGAGGGGAAACCGTCCGTTGAGAGAGGAGGCCATTCGCCGAGAGGCCGTCCGTCGAGAGAGGGAGAGGCCATTCGCCAAGGGGAGGCCATCCATCGAGAGAGGCAGGAGGCTATTGGTCGAGAGAGGGGGGAGGCGTTCGGTGAGGAGACCATTCATCGAGGGAAAGAGAAGGCTGTTCATTGAGGGAGGAGGCCGTTTGTTGACTTGACAATGTGCTGGAAGGGAAGAACAATGAATTTCCGTGTTGGGAAATTCAAAATTCAACATGACGTCGGAGTTTCAACGGACTTGAACAAACTGCAGCTCATGACTTGAAGTTGTTCACACTTGGTTCACACGCGTAACTGTAAGTAGGTAGCACATGCATACCAGAAAAAGATGAACCATTTCGAAAATTCTTGGCACAGACATCTAATATAATAAACGACATCGGTCTTTGAGAAAACTCTCACGGGGGGTAAGTGAGCGTTCTGATTGGCTGATCACTCATCAGCACTCAGCGCTCAGCGCCCAGCGATCACACTCAGCTCATCATGGATTGCCGCCTCGCCGCCTTCTGTTGCGCCTTGACAGAGCCCATGTTTTACTGCACCCTTCATGCTCAAATGTTCCAACCTTCAACGTCCAATCTTCAAACAGCTAAGAATGTTTAGGCCACTCAAAATTGAAAGTGACTTAGTTCGGATGGCCGAGCTGTCATGTTTTCCAGGGATTTCTACAATTTTCTGAGCCATCAGTGGGATGCGGCACCTTCACCATCGTCCGCCAGAGCCAGACCCTTGGCTTCACTGTCTACTCCATTTTTCGTAGCAATTTCGTAGTCCCTCCTTTCATCATATGTGCGCCTACTTAGTTATGAGAGCTTCCTCGGTACTGACCAGAAACTTCCTAGGTCGCAAAATATGCTCAACACAGTAGTCATATCAAATTGAACAGCAATTGGAATGTAGTTAATTCCTCTCAGCCCTCAAAACAACTGCCAGGACTTCCAGATTGATCCCTGCCAATGTGCTTACGTTCACCGGTTCACAAGGAGTCTGAAACTTTCAAACTCGATGTCGAACATTACATCTTCGCCTTCAGAGACTTGAACAATTCAAACTCCAAACCCACTGGCATCAAACCTATCGCATCGTTTACTTGCGAATTTTCGTCACGCTACCAGAATCGCAAGAGACCTGTGCCTTTTGATCGTCGATATGTCTCCATTTCTGGCTTCCTCACAAACGTTATGCATAAACCAAATTCTGAAGACATCGTTGAGTGTTTTACGGTCTCAATTGATCATATTGCATTCTTGGGGCAGCAAGGTACTTCTCAAGGGGGTGTCGGGATCATAATCCCGGACCGGGGGCCGGTTGGTTGGTTGGGCCATCAGGTCGTTAAAAAAAATTTGGAAGCTCAAAAATTTTGGCCCAAAAACATTATGGGTGGCCTTGCTGGTGCAAAAATTATACATGATAGATACTAGAAAGCCAATAGATAACCTCAAGATGTGCTCAATGCCTCAGGACGTGCCAAAAAGCACCACTGAGACTGCATAAGACAATATTAATATCGGACCATTGATAACTTCTCTTAGTGTGGCAACCGTTACAGCAAGGAAACATGAGGTCGGTGCGAAAAATGAAAATGTAAGGTTGTCGATTGGAGGATTGCTTTTGTGGATTCCGAGCAGAGCTGACCACTGGCAATGTGATCCAGTGGGATGTGAAACTGTGTGGTCAATTGGTAAACCCACTTTCTGTTAGGGTTTCAACGTAAAACGTGCTTACATCTTCATGTCAAAGCATTCTGATATCACCTCATTTGTATTTATATTGTGCAGGTGCCCATGCATTGGGTCTGCAATGCATGTTCAACGTCGAGAGGCCCAAGGACAGGAAGACGACGTCACAACGGTGACGTCATATTTCCTAAAATAGACACGTGCCTGATTACGTTGGGTGGTTGGTTCAGCCCAGCGCTCACTACCAAAAAAATCGACCCTAGGTCTTTTTTTTTTATCCCGACACCCCCTTGGTACTTCTACAGCTATTCCGAATACATTGGATAGTAAGTGCTATTTACCCGCCCAATTTTCCGGTCTCATTGATGTTCTTGTGATGTTCCCTTAGGTCCCTATCAGACGCCGCGTCGTGGAAAAAGCCTGATCGACTACAAATGTGCCAGTAGTCCATCTACACCAATTACAACTACCATCGTTTCACCAGTTTCACCTACCATGCCAGCCACTCCGACTCCAGCTCAAGGCCCTCCTTGGAAGCACCAACGCGTCGAAGCAGATCAATCCTCTGACTCGAACTCAGGTGATATATATGTGCCAGAGGAATGACCTGGACGTTTTTTGTAAACTTAGATTATGCAATGTCAAAGATTCATTTGCCTATATTCAGACGGAGTCTGACTCCGTGCGAAGCACGGGTAACATGCTAGTGTATATAAAATGTACGACAATGTTGATACTAACCTATGACTAAACTCACCTCCCATTTGATGTCAAGGGAAGGCTGGCGTGAAAATTACAGACGTGTGACACACGTCTGACTGACGTCTGACTTCGTATGATTTTTCTTGACTTCGCTTTTTACTGAGCGTCACGCGTCACATCGGCTGAACAGTTGGTTGAAATACCACAGTACCACCTAGAAAAAAGCCACTTTTCTTCTCCCAATGCCATGAAACCATCCAGGGTAATTAGCTCAAAACTTTCTACATCGTAATAGTCTATGTCCCGGCTGTCTCCTCCAGGTGAATATGCCATCTTTTCATGGTAAATAAGTACCCGATTCACCCGCAGCAGAATGATGTTTCTGTAGAGCCCCAACAGACCCGACGGTCGCGTGAGCTTCAATGGTCTGTGAGCCACCAGACGCGATGCGGCATTACCTTCAATGGTGCCCGAAGATGGCCCGAAGCGGGATATTGTCATAACTGATGTTGAACGTGTTTACACTAGTGGAAGGCGGCAGCAACGGCGTCTAGCTCGTTCTTGTCATAAAGGTATCCCTCGGTCGTCTTTCGTTGCTCCAATGTGGTGCCTTGAACGAAGTCCACAACGATATGCGCCTGGTGCTTGCGAGCGAAGATCAGGTAAACGTCGGGGATGCAGACGACGCTCGCAGGGTTGCTGTTCACGATCTTTGCTACATAAGCCTGTGTACGGGCTTCTGATATTATGACAGCAGCGTGGCAAAATTTGACCCAGAATCGAGGCTTGCCTGCGACTGAGATGCAAGCGCCATACAATCTGTAAGGAGCTTTACTGCACGCATCAAACATTTCGTGATGGGTTGGGAGCTCCACGGGGATGTTAGCTGAATACCAGATCTTGTCGTCTGTCACGACTCCTAGAACGCACGTAGGTGGAGGCACAGTGGCGAAGGGACTCGGGAATGAGTCAAGCAGCAGAAAAAGTGTGGAACATGAAAGTGATGGTCGCTGATCAAAATTTAGAAGAACCGACATGCTGTCCTAATTAGGTAGGCCCCATCGATTCGACCGCCTCAGCAACCAACCAGCAACCTCAGCATTCATTGCAAAATAATTGCTACCTTTTGCCTTCTAAAGACTACATATCCTCTTTCGCAAATTTATTTTCAATATAACGAGTACAAATACAATTTCAGGTTGTCCAACTTCCGAAAACGAGTCAGTGGGAAGAAACGGCCATCGAAAAAGTCTGCTGGGAGTTCGAATCACTGGGCTTAAAGTCGACTAAGCCTCACTGTACATAAACTTCCGTTCCTGCCGCCCAAGTGGCATTCGGCGTATAGTTCAAGGCAGACTTCATTCGTTTCTGGACCGTAACATGAAAATTCGGATGTGGTTCCAGAATATGTCGCCTCTTTCCTCGATGGGTACTAAACAGAGTTATATTACTTCGAATATCTACACTGAGTATAAGTAAACACGTACCGAAACTTCGAATGCCAAACTCCCTGTGCATCCTGCCATTTAAACTGTAGAAGCAAGTATTCCACTATCCACCACATCTTGTTTTTCACAAGGTCATCGTTAATGTGCTGCAGGCAATCAATATCGTCGAGTTCCCGCTCTGCACGCCCAATGGGTTCGGGGGAGACGTCAATCCCCGCTTGAGCAAGGGCGGCAGGATCGAAAACCACCCCACATCCCGACGCGATTACTTCGCTGACCATCCATCGCAAACTAATATTGGCGAGAGATTGATGTGTGCTGTTCGGAACGGCCCCTCCTCCGACGTCTAGGACCGCAGTTCAACAAATCTATGTTAATTTAAAAGCCACAAAAGTCCTCACCACTGTGACACCCTGCGAACCAGACTTCCAGGACATCGGCTAATATCACGTGCTCCTCCAGTACGGGTGCAATTGCCTTTCCTGTGCCCAATGTGTCTCCGAAAGATGCTTGACGTTGTCCCTCGTCTGGGGTAGAGGATCCAGGAGCCGCGGAGGTCAAATCTCCGGTAGCTTCCGGACCAGTTTTCGGATGCTGGTTTCCGGACCATTCAGATGCTTCGGTAGGTCCAGGTCGGTGAAATAAATTTGGCTGGAATTTGGCACGGTGCTTTGGTAAAAGTGAGCGAAGGGTTTACGCGGCCAGGGAAAAAAAATCACTTGCCTCATCAAGCGACAGCGCATGTCGGAAAATCTTAATACTCCTGTTTGCCTTGCTGAAAGGGAGCTCCCCACCGAAGCCGATGCTTGCGACTGTATCCCTTACATTATTTTTTGGTTAGCCCGTAACAGAGATTTTTAAAAAAAAGGCGTACCAAACGCCGAGGAACTCAATGTTAACATGTTGACAGTACGTCTGCTTGAAACCCGCACAAAGCTCTGTTCCAGCCGGATCGGTACGTTTGTAAAACTTATACGCAAAAGGCATCTGGGAATCGTTGTCTCGAGGGAGGAGTCCAATCTATTTGTAAACATTAATTCAAATTAATTTTGACGTCAACATTAAAAACCTTGTACAAGAAGCCAGACAACGCCCTGAAAGATGTACATTGTTGAGAAGTTCAATGAGGTTGTTAAGAACATACCTCGCAGTATAAGCGCCCCTAGAAAACCCTGTAGTCAACAGATATTAGAAATATGCAGAGAAAACGGGCCATTGGAAGCTCGCTGCACACCAAACAGGCAAATCTTATCCCCAAAACGATAATTCTGCATGATAAATCTGTAGCCATCAAGGACATGGGCGTCGAGATGCCTGAAAAAGTCAAGTTTACGCGTTGATGCTTCTCGACCTGTGACATACCAGGCAAATACAAGGTCCAAAACCTTTGCGCCCCACTCAAAAAGAGGAGACACCACGCCCGGCTTGAACCATGTGCCTATTCCCGCCTTGAGGAGAGCGAAATGTGAGCGGTATCTGCTTATGAACGTTTCGTCTTGTTAGCGTTACCTGGTAATAGCACAGTTGCTCGGCAGGGTCACCCTTCTTCAACAATGTGAATAACTTGACTACGTTAGTGTTCTACATCAAAAAAGGGTAAATCAGTTTTTCAAGAACAAGAGAAGGAATGCGAGCACTCACATTTTCATCGTACTTGTTCGAAGTCCCGTCGAAGCATAAAACAAGTGTGCGTGGTTGTCTTGCGGGATTCGCCATCCTATGCGAAGCCAGGAGGTGGAAGAGAGATCCAGAGGGGGGTAAGTGGGGAGTCACAAGAACGAGATATATATATTCTTCTCATCCATCTCATCTTGAATCGCGCCCACTGTCACTTTCATAAATGTTTTGGCAAGCCAATGTCTCTCCTGGGAAGACGCTGAACAAAGAAGCGCCAGTTCCACATAGGACCTTATGACCACCTACAGTTGCCCCATATGATATATCTAATCTTGACATGAGAACAATTTAGAAGGTGATGTCCAGTTTGAGGTTGTGGCGCAGGGTATAAAAACCTTACATCATATGCCTTTCCCTGCTCCCGACCATCCCGCCAACCTTAGCGGTGGCTACCAGTCGCATGCTTAAGCCGAGGAATCCAGATGTGCGATGTAAATTTTAGAGCGTGGCACGGTGGTCCAAGCCGATCACCAATCGGTAGAATCATCTCACAGAATACACTAGCAGATCTTGAGCAGATCCTGGCACGACGCCGCGTCGACGCGATGTGGAAAATCACATTGACCCCGAGAGCCTATCGTGGACTTGCTGCCGTTACTGTATGTAGAATTCGACGAGGCCAGACTGGGCCAGACTGTGCTGATGAGGAATGGCAGTGTTGGCATTGTCGTCGTTGCAATAGAATGTGGCCTGATAGGCTTATCGATTTCTTATCTCATTTGTTGGGCTGTCGGAGTCGAGTATGCTACGTGTGTAGCATCCTTGCAAGAGAGTCATTAAATACACTAGGTGGATATCCCTCATTGTCGTTCCCGCTACGGTCCCAGATATATAGAATGCATTCCAAGTAACAAAAGCCTAGTTTATAAGTTCTACATGAGCGAGTAGTGGTCAGCAAAGCAAGATAAGACCCATAGCAAAGAAAGAAAACATGGCTGTGACAGAAGAAACAGTCGTCATTCAACAACCTCACTCAAGCTTGGCAGGACCCTTCTCCGACTCCCCTGCACTACTATGCACATCATCAGTCGACTTCTCATCTTCAACCTCTTCAGCTGGTGGCGGAGCGCGTCCAACAAGCTTGAGCCTATTCACGAAGAAAGCTCACATGAACGACCATTCACAGGGTAAGAGGAGAATGGGGGGTACGTACATCCAATATGGCACGATACCTCCAGGGGGTATAACCCACTCTTCCGAGTTCTCGATGTTGTGAGGTACGAGTCGCCCTCTGGAGAGTTTTGAGATTACTAGAGGGATGGCGTTGAGGAGGATGTAGGAGAGTATTCCTGCTATGACGCCGTATGCGATGCTTTGGGGTTGGTTGTGTTATTGATCATGGCATACAAAAGGCGGAGAGGGGGGAGACGTACTTGTATGTCAGGGGAATGATGAGGATCGTGAGGAAAGCGGGTACAGCGTCACCGATGTAGTCCCATTTGATCTCCATGACGCTGTTCATTACCGTCGGTTAGCCATGAGACTTTGCAATGTGGACTTGAGATAGAACGAACTTGCGAATCATCATAGACCCAACAATGACCAGCGCCCCACCAGTAGCCCATGATGGGATAGAAGCAAAGATGGGGGCGAAGAACACAGAGACAAAAAACGCAAGTCCTGTGAACATGGCTGTGATACCCGTCTTGCCGCCCTCTGTCACACCATCAAGTCAGCCTACGCATCCTACAATTCGAAAAGATGGGAGGGGGGCTTACCACTGATACCAGTGGCGCTCTCGATGTATGCCGTGACGGGGCTTGTCCCCATAAGCGCACCCATGCTGATGGAGAAGGCGTCCACACAGTATGCAATAGTTGAGTTCTCGAAGTCGAGTGTCACGGGATCACGCAGACCCGCGAACTTCGCCATGGCGTAGAGAGTCCTGGTAAGGGTTAGTTGCGGATTGGAGTTGGGAAGTGGGGTGTGTTTACCCGGTGGTATCTGACAAAGGGGTTAGGAAGTACTTAGGTGGAGAGAGAGAGGATGACGAGACTAACCCAAGATATCCACGTAGAGGAAGGTAATCAACGCGTACCAGACCTTGCCTTTGCTAGTTAAGACCATTAGCCAGGACTGGATGAATCAAGCTACAAAACATCTTACTTATAGTGATACTGTCGCAGAACACCAATCAGCTCCATCGCCCACCCGAACAAAAAGAACAAACTCACATCAATGACATTCCCAACTTTATCGAGCGGCTGGAACGCGACGACTTGTTTGAAATAATCGAACATGGCATCGCCCGCCGCCGTATGTGGGAAGTACGTCACTGGGGTAGGGCGGGGCCAGGAGATGATGGACGTTAAGAAGATGCCCATGAGGATGGCTCCGCGGACGCGGTACATCATGAGGATGAGTGTGAAGAACCTGAAGGTAAAGGTTAGTGTTGAATTGGACAAATGTGGAAGGGATGAAGACGAACCCGCCGGTGAAGATCCCTAACCACATTGTTGGACTCCGGAGGACGCCGCGAGCGCAGTAGTGCGGGAGGTTCTCCATGAAGTCTTGAGGAAAATATTGTGAGCATTTGGCGTTTAGTGTGCATGATGGTTCTTACTTTCAGGTTTGCATCCTCCTAAACCGACGAGGTTGACTGTATCGCCGCCAATAACTCCCAAGCCATTCGGGGCTGTATCAGAGAGAGGGGTCAGGAAAGTTAATGACGGGAAAGCCGGGGGTTAACCGACATAAACCAATGAACCTGGACAAAGTGAAGATGTAAGATAGTGCTCTTACGAGGAGGCATGTGTGCCTTACGCGATAAAGAGCCCGATACCAGCGCCAACGGCGAGCACGAGGGATTGTGGCATAATCCGTGCGAGCCATTGCCGGAGGCCGAGCAGAGATAAGATGATAAATAACCACCTGGAGATATGATTTGTGATCAGTAAGGATAACTCGGTAACTCGGAGTGAGGTGTGTGTGTGTGTGTGATCGGAGAGCGAGGGATAAGAATACATACCCTTCCAGGAACACAGCAGATAACGCCTCGCGATAAGTGATAATGCCACTACCGTGGAACCCGACGACGGAGTAGGCGAACTGGATTTAGAAGGGCCTTATCAATCAGCAAAGGGGAGAAAGGGGGGCCGATCGCGAATGAACAGACGAACGTATGCGTTGAGACCTAGCCCCGGCGCTAGTCCCACTGGTAAGTTCGCTAAGAGTCCCATGAGGAAGCTGGAGAGGGCGGCGATGGCGGCGGTTGTGGTTATGAGGTTTTGCCGGATTTCGTTGACGCAGGTGAGGTAGTTCTGGTCGTTGAGGCATAGGTCTGTCGTGGGGCAGACGCAGGTCCCACCGGTGTCAGATAGGATGGATGCGTTAACTGATATCTGTGGGGGGTATGAGGTTGAGTTTTTATAAGGAGGCGAAGAAGGACTTACGATGTAAGCCATCGCAGCCTATATATTATTGGTACGTTCAACCAATGTAAATGGATTGAATGTCAAAAGACCCACCCATGTCGTTAATCCTGCTCGGATTTCAGTCTATCAGAGTGATGCGTTGAGTTCCATCGTTGAGGCCGATCAGAAGGACGGTCCTACCGTAAACCGAGACCCAATACGCTCTTTCGGCACTCCAGAGCCCTCCAACTTGAACCACCTCCCAAAGAAAGATCTCGCGACCTATCCAACGCCTGTAAGGTGACGAAAACTCTCCAAGCCGCTTTCAGTTACTCACCGCATTATTGAGCTTATCGACGATGCCCATGGACGCGAAAAGGGCGCTTGCTCACAAGAGCAAGGTTGTGAGATAGTACTGGGAAAGTGTGGAGACGAATTAAGCTTCCAGGTGATGTGTGGAGATAGCATTTTGAGGATGGGAGTTCGATCTTGACTGTGAAATCTGGCGAGAAAATTTTGATGTTGGGAGTTAGAGTTGTGTCAGGAACGATCGTACTTGGCACACATCCCCACGTGGAACCCTTCCTCTTCGCTTGTTCTGGGTTTCTCTGAAAATATGTTCAAGCTTGGTTCAACTCAGTGGGCCAGAGAAAAGGAGATTGGTGCACCTCTCACCGTTACCCTTGGTAGAAAGTCGACTGATTCATATATCTCAAGCGTTATAAAAAGTACTTGCCTCAAATTGGCAAACTTCAAACTGGCGGCCTTCAACGCGAATGGAAGGATCACGGCCACGGCCTAACCTCGGGTGACCCCCAAGTTCAAATCTGATCACCGCATGCATAACATGCTGACGGGAACCTAACTACTAACTACAACCGCTACGCCCAAGCGCCCGCCGTATCATCCAATGGCCTCGATAGTTGAACCTGCCCTGCGCGATAAGCTTGCTCTGATAACGGGTTGCACGTAAGTCTTTAGCCACCGATTGACGTTCTTCACCTACAAACCTGGACCTGATGATAACTTGAACCGCATGCGCAGCGGCGGAATCGGATGGGCAAGCGCTCTCTCCCTAGCGCGCCTCGGATGCTCCATCGCAGTGCACTACAACTCGGCCGCAGAAAAAGCCACAGAGCTAATCTCCCAACTCCAAGCGCTGCCAGGCATCAAAGCCGCTGCGTTCAAAGCGGACTTGTCAGACTATGATAACGTGCGCAGGTTGCATCGGGAGGTTGTGGCGACGCTGGGACATCCTGATATCTTGTTCAATAATTCGGGGAGCACGGGTAGGATGATTGGGCCGCTGGGGGATATTGAGAGTATCACTGTTGATGAGTTTGAGGAAATTTGGAGGCTTAATACTGGTTCCAGCTTTTTGGTGTGTGATATCTGTTCAATCTAATCGATTCTGAAGGCCCTGATGGTTGTAGTTGACGCAACTATGCCTCCCCAACATGGTCGCCAGTAAGTATGGAAGGATCGTTTTTAATTCTAGGTACGAATTCTACCAGAACTTCAATAATGAAATTTTCAACGATGTCCTACCCCCTATTAGCGTGGCCGCAGGTATGTAGAACCTCTCACCTGTTTCCTCGATAGCCCGAGGTAGTTAAATGAATCTTGTACAGGCACCGGAGGTGTTGTCGGACCCCACTATGCTTCCTCCAAATCCGCACTGCACGGTCTCTTGCACTGGATCGCAATGAGATATGCAAAGGACGGAATAGTAAGGCTTATTTATTTCTAAAGCTCAAATTAACGAGCGGGAGAGCAGACGTGTAACGCCGTTGCGCCTGGGTTAATTACCGGTTGGTTTACCTCTCCAATTACACCAACTGCGAGTGCAACTCACCGACATCTCATAAAGATACCAATATGTTTTCTAACCCTTCAGAAGAGCTAAAGGTATCCCATAACCTATAACCAATCAACCACTGACCTCACTCACATATGTATGGTGACTTGCAACAGAGCAGGATCCCCATCGCCCGATTCGGAGTTCCGGATGAAGTTGCGTCGATTGTTGTGCTGCTGGTCACTAATTCCTATATGACCAACAAGGTACGTGTTTTTGAACATTGATGACTCGTGATTGAGGTGTTGAGGGCACTTAGATTCTGGTTGCGGATGGAGGGATCACTCCGAGCGCGTTTTGAGATTTATGGTGAAGATGTAGCTTGGCAAATTTTGTACTGACGAAAGTGCTCTAAGGTATATTGGGAAGAAATATACAAGTTCAAATCGGACTATAGTAAGTGGACAGAACATCTTAGGATCAGGATATAAAAGCCCAACTGGCAATTCCACCTCTGTCGCATTCAAAGTAGCGTCGGAAAACATGTGGATTTTTTCAGCTACCTCATCAATCGTGCATACCGTACACCCAGGAGTTTCAAGAAACTGTTCGATTTTCCAGTCGGAGTGACGAAAAAGCGAATTTCTTCCCAGATTCTAGATCGCAAGACCTTGAATCCTAGAGAGATGAGACCATAGCGGAAGTGGAGGCGTCAATGTGCATTCGACGGCGAATTATCCTTGGCAGAAGAAATCCGTGACACTTGGGAACATTGTTGAGCGAATAACATCCATTCCAGCCTTGAAGAAAACGCAGGCCGACTTCATTGCTGACCATAAATAACTGGAAAGGGGCTCTAGTGAAACTTGAGATCTTGAGACAGTCGTTTCAGAAATAGGGGGCACGTACACTTCGGCAAAATTCCTGCTTTCGCTGGCCGTCTTCTGGGATGGCTGATCAGAGAAAAATCGCGGAGACTTGTGATGTGGTCTCGCGGCGCGTCGTTCTCATCCTTCTAATCGGTATTTGAACATTCAGGAGGTGTGTTGTAGACTTTCCCTTGTCGAGTCCTTTTTCCAGGAAAGTTCAAAAGTTTAAATTATTGACGGTCCGATCGGTAACTTCCGTGCACGTGGTGTGTGGCTGAACTCCGACTCCCGAGGACCCTTGTCCTTCTGTCTGCAATGATCCTGCTGCCCCGACCTATGCCCTCTCGCCTGTTCTTCGCTGCCTCCTGTAGGTGAACTCACGCCTGTAGCCTAAGATGCATTTTTAGGCTGCATTGCGATGCGGGATGGTCTATCGGATCTCTTGGAAGGTGGTGGGCTTTGAGGGACTGTTTCTGCGTCTAGACATGGTTGGGCAAGGGTTGATATAACAGAGGTATGTCTCTCTCTTCCTCTATCTTCAACTTGGGTGCTTTCCTAACCTCTTGTTCTTCTTGCTTGCAGGCTGCATGACGGTTTGAGGGTGTTACGTTCTCTCGATACTGGGTAGTGGGCACTTTCGGTGAGTCTGTTTTCCATCATCTTTTATGGGTTTCCTTCTAATAAGCATACGTCTCTGTAGATCTGACATTGAAATGTCTCCACGCTGCTTGGTACTAGACACCAGCACACTTTCCTTGGACGGATGTGGTGTCCTTCCTAAGACCCACTCCGGCTACTCCTTTTGTCAATCTGTGAGTTCCACCGGATTCTCCGTCTTCCCGGGCATGTCTAACGATTTCGGATTTCTCTGGTCACTGATATATTAGAGCCCTCCTCCTCACCCCCTTCGCAGCATATATGAGTCCGTAGTACTGTAGCCCTGAGCCTTTGTGTGTTTGGCTTTGTGAGTGGCATCATCGGTGATTTAGTAAGCCGCCGGGCCGTTGTTGAGGATCGCAACACTCACGCGGTGACAATTACAACGACGGGTATTGTCCCCCTCGGTCCCCATTATTTTCCTTCTGTTGCCTGTCGACTTGCCATGACATGCCTCGCAATCCGCACTCCGGCGCTTCCACTCTCAGAAACCGCAATCGCATTACAAACAAGACTCGCCTCAAGATCCAGTATGGCAACATCGAAGCTGACGCCCTGTTCATTCCCGACGAGGACGATGAAAAGGATCGTCTCACCAATCTCGTCGCTGGAGTCGATGCGGAGGACGCCAATGTGAGTCTAACTCCACCTTGTTTCAGTGCCACGTCAGCATTTTTTCGTGGCTGTGCGTTCCATGGAATGATGACACATCAGCTGACACATGTCATCAATTAGGAACACCACTTGCAAGAAGTCCTGTCTGGCAGCAACGGTGTTGGCCGACACGCAACGCGCGACGCGCCTGCTGCTACGCAGCAAGCGTTTATTCCAACCCCAGACTCGACCGGCATTGTCGACAACTATGATCAACTATACCCCAACACCGCGTGGAAAGATCCCAAGACTTACATTTTCTCGTCTTCGACTGTCGAAGAGAATGTTAAGTGGGGTCTTTCCGGTGGATTCAATTACAATATGGATGAACGCGACAAGGAGTGGCTCGACAAGCACAACGAGTCTGCGCGTGGCGAGGGTACAAGCGCCCAAGGATCTGTTTCTTCAGCCTCCAATGCGCGAACGTCACCTCGAACATCCAAGGGTAAAGGCAAAGAGCCAGAAAATCAAGATGCTGGTGGTGTGATTTCTGAGGATCTGTTTGAGGTCGTGATGGGGTTGTTCGAGAAGATAACGACGGAGCGGACGGAGTACCTGCATCATGTTTGTCTCCTCTGTTACTTTCATTTTCCTACGACTAACTTCGAGCTTCAGGGTCTGGAGACGGGAATGGAGTTCCCAGCTTTCTCTGAGTACCAGGAATTTTTCGGCTCAGCTATTCCGCCTTCAACATTCTCGTCGGGGATATTGCCTTCGTTGCTGCCCCCGCCAGCATCTATGCTACGAGTTGCGGAAGCCGTCTACTTTTACTGGAGAGAACGCCGCATCGAACGCGGTGGTCATAGAATCATTCCAGTTCTAAATGTTCGTTTATTGCGTATCTATCAGTTTCAATTTTCTGACGTGCTTCCCTCACAGTTCGACGAATCGGACACGCTGAACGAATCGTACATCTGCTTTCGGCGACGCGAGACTAAGGCTGTGCGCAAGACTCGAGCGTCCCAAGCTACTCCAACGGACAAGCTTGCACGATTACATGCAGAGCTTGCATACCCTCTCGAGCTTGCCAATGCAATCCTACTTCGTGAAACACAGAGAATTCAATGTCAGGCCGAAGCACAGAACGTCTGGTCTCTGAGGCGAAGGCTTGTTGACCTCAAACGAGAAAATCCTGCTCTTGGTGACAAGGCAGACGAGGAGTTTCTTGTGGAGAAGGAGCGGCCCAAGAAGTTTCCCAGCTCGTACGTTTCTGCCTCTGACATTACTCGTGTTCCTTATTCCGTTTGTTATAGCCGTATACCGAACCTCAAAATCAGGACGGGCGAATCCTTGACTCCAGCCCGTGGAGAAGTATCAATTAAACCCTCAGAGCGCATCGCCAAGATTCGCGACCACCTAGATGCCGCACTTGACCGTCAAATCGAGGTTGACCATCATTGGGAAGATCAAGTCGACGTATGTGTTGATTTATATTGTGGTACCTGACATGTAGCTAACGGACTTGCCCACAGAATCCTTACCAGGCGCCTCTGGTTCCCTACGCTTCTAGACTGTTCAAATACATTCCACCTTCAGATACCCATGTTGGGCTTGGTGAAACTGAGGATGAGGATAAACCACATTCTAGACAGGCACGTTCCATTCGTATGCGTTATGGGCGAGGTGGTCGCGTCCACATCGACCGCCGAGACTTCAACACAAGGTCCATCTGCATGAAACGAAAACGATCGGCTCTGCTCCCATCTGACGACGAGATGGACGTTGAGGAAGATGATGAGGAGTCGGAGAGGAAACGAAGGCTAGAGGAGCGCTGGAAATTCGACCTCGATGACGTTCCAGCCGTTGGCCCACGCGGAGCGGACGAGGAAAACAGAATTTTGATCGATGATTATGATTTCCCGTAGGTTGCCTTATTTCAGTCTGTCGCTGTCGCTGATTTTGCTTGATTAGATACCTGAGTCATCGGATGACCTTGATGAACGATGCGGACCACCACAATATGCTAACCGATCCATCACTGGTTGTACAAGCTCCGGATGGTCGTCAGCAGTTGGTTGTTCCATTCCGACTAGGCGGACCACCCACCCTTGTTCGCCGTGACCAGAATGGTGTCCTGCGCGCGTATCACCCCCTGATTAATGGCGGTATTCCAAGTGGTGCCATGTCGTCACCGACTGGAGTTAGTAGCATCAAGAAGATGCCCCCGCCAAGTGCTATCCCGCAGATGCGGATTTCTTCCAACGGTGGCATGCGTCCTCCCTCCACAACACCAAACCATCAGGCTAATGGTTCCGTGCTTCCATCCCCCCATTCTCTTCCTGTACCCCATCACTCAAGCGCCAGCCGTGCTGCCATCTCCATGCCGCACGTCGATCTTTCGAATCCTGATTCTACCCCAATTCCCATCCAAGTTGACCAAACCAAGAAAGAGGATGTCGATGTTACTATAAAACCACCTGCAACATCACCTTCGCCTACGAGACTGCCCGCTCATGGTCAAAACCATGCCGGTCTCGCGGTTCCAACCAACGGCTTCCATTTGACCCCCATGTCAAGCCACGCTGCCGCCGCTCTCGCCACGGTGCAACGAGCTTCGCAGCAAGAGCGTGGTCTTACGATGCAGCAGCTGCAGGAGCTCAAGACGGTTTTTTCTAACCTCCCACCAGCCGATCAGTTAGCGATGTTGCAGGCCAATAACTCTCGGGCGGTCCTGGGGAACGTGCCCATGCCCAACGGCAACAACGTTAACGTCAGCGTGAATGGCATGACGAATGGAAGCAGCCACATGCAGCAATTAGCAGCAGGCGGGCACATGAACCTCAAGTTGCCTGTTAGCCGGCAGATGCAGGTGAATGGGCAGCAGATTGCAGGGGTGAATAAGCCTGGGGTTAATGGCCAAACGGCCGCGATTCCGACGAATTCAGCGTCCCCACCTATTCAGGCCGCACCATCCCCTTCTCGGGCCGCGAGTATGACTATGACGTCTCCGTCGTTGCAGCATCAGCAACCGGCTGGGAATACCCAAGGCAGTTATTAGATTTGTTATGGTCTCATCTATGCCTATGCCGTTTTGGCCTACCGCGGATGCGTATGAAGATGCGAAATGTTGGGCCACTGTATATGAATGCGCGAATTACTGCGCCCACTTTATCCCGCGCCAACACCAACACCGAACTTTATCCCTCCCTCCCTCGACTCTCAGACCAGTCAGTGGCGAAGCCCGACAAACTTTGGTCCCTCCAACTTCAAATGCATACATCGATTATCAGTACCCTCCCAACTCCGTTTAGTACTAGTAGATATCTTTCTCCTTCGAATCGCTCCGTCTTTTTTACGTTGTCCTGTATTTTATTCATTCTTTTTTTTGCACATATCCAGCTTTCAGTTTTGAGGCGATGCACTTTGTGTTTGTTCAGATTTTAAACTCAAGGCTTCATCTTGCCAACTCTTCGAATTCACCTCCCACAAACCTTCAACCAAATCATGTTCTTGTTCACAATCAACGTCTTCTTTGCATCTCTTCATTCACGATAATGAATCTACATCACTGAAAATTGCATCCTTCCACCCATGAGCCCCAATCTGAACATATCTCCGCCTGGCAGACGTGTCAAAGTTTATAATTGAAACGTATAATAATACCCTTTCGATGTGAGTTCCCGGTCTTGGTGTTTTTTTTATAACCTCTTCTTTTTCTTTAAGTAGCTCGAGATCAGGCTGGGTGTTTAATTCTTGGTCTAAATTGCAACACCTTTTCTCATAGGTTCTCATGAAATTTACATTTTCTCACCGCGGCGAGGCCTTCTTGATGATGATGCGATCTCTCCTGAGGGAACACGCGTCGGAGATATTTCCGTTTCGTATGATCGATAACGTGTATTTGCCAGAGGTGCTGCGAGGACGCTTTAGTGTGCAAGGCACACCCATATACAAAAGGACCGCGACTTGATGTCAACCGAACGTTTGACTTTCTTCCGTCATTTGGAACCGCGTTATGGCTAACTTTGAAACATCGGTATCATTGATTATGGAATGCCGACCGCTGTCCACGGCCCACCCTGCCTGCTCTCCTCTGGCTGACTTGACAGTGTGCCCCTTTTTTTCCCTTCGCGGCATGCCAATTGATGCTCCACATCTCAAACTATTACTTTCTCGCACGTCTACTCTTCGTTTTCACATATCCTGCCGCCGATTTATTATTTTTAGTTGCAGGCACACCTCAATTATCGACGTTGCTCCGAGTCCGAGTCTTTTATTACCCCCAGGGCCCAGTGGAGGCGGCGTGTGTAATACTAGACCCGACGATTTGAGGAAGGCGGTACTATTATCGTCCAACAAATCGATCGACTTTCACAACTATCACCGGGACTTTCATCTGCCAGCATGACCCTGCTTGTTAGAGGCGACTCGTCACTCAAATAATGATTTCTTCGATATCTCGGCGAAATCTCGCCGCGCACTTACCACACCTCGAAATATAAGAAAAGGCGTCTGATACCGAATTATTGTTGGACTGTTGAGAAACGTACCACAGCCCAGAGATGCGTGTGGCGATTTTTAGATGCGCCATTCTTTCGTCTTTGGTCTCCTTGGTGGTCGCCTTCAATCCTTTCTCGCCGCGCGATATCGACAACGACGTGTGCGGCGAGATAAACGAGGTTCTCTACGTCCCAAGCTATGGGAAAAGTGTTGCCAGTGGAACTATTAGTGCGTTTCTCGGGTTCATCTATCTTTTCAATTTTAACTCGTTTCTAGATGCTTGCATCTGCCTCTCTACGATTCCTACGTTTATTGCGACCAACTCGGCGGCTATCTCGGGAACTGCATTGGCAGGAAAAGATTACGTGACTGCTGAGATCACAGCCATGGTCAGTCCAAGCGCTCGAGTTCAGGGAGCTTTGGATTTATCTTGAGAGGATTTAGCTCTACCGTTGTGGAAACATCAAGCAATGTACCTATCCCCCTCGCTCCGTTCCCCAGTGTCAATCCAAAAATCCCTGCGGCTTCACATGCAAAGATGGGTCAGCATACCTCATTGCGAAACTTAACGTAATTTCTAATCGTTTATTAGCTACACCCCGTCCCCAAGCAATTATCCTACGCAATGCGTCTGTAAATCCCCTCACAAAGTTTGCAATGGGATCTGTGGCAACTATAGTGCTTGCCCTACTGGGTCCTATAGCAAGCGTAATGTTCCCAATGCGAAGCGTCGGTCATGCCCAACAGGACTCAAAGCATGCGGCATTCTAGGAAGAAGCGCCAAGTCTTGGGAGTGCATTGACACGCAGAGTGATCTAGAGAGCTGTATGTCCCCCTCATTAACTTTGACTGACTCCAATCTTACTCGCTATCAGGCGGAGGTTGTGCTGTTCCTCTGCTCCACGGCCTCTCTACTCCTGATGGCGAGGACTGCGCCGCCATCGCTGGCGTCTCCGACGTCTCTTGTGTCAATGGCCAGTGCAGCATACACCGTTGTATGCCAGGTTATAAACTTGACGCCTTGAGCAAATCTTGCGTCTACTCGGAAGACGAAGATCCCGCCCTCCTTGCGGCTCAATATGGACTTGACTATGTTTCCTTGTGATGGATGCATTTACGCATATACACGTTTTTATCTGATTTTTTGGACTTGAATTTTAATTGACACTCAAAAAATTATTCGGACACCTACCTACGCATGAGTAGAATAAATTACGATGACACATAGATGCTATACAGCGACGACGACGCGGTGTCGCCTCGTCGATACAGTACGGGAATGAAACATTCGGAGTAATGTTACGAAAAGTAAAGCGTGTTGTTCGGATCTCAGTATCTATGGAATTCTATCAACGTTCTATAAACGCGACGACATCAGGGATTCCAGAATTCAACTATGAAGACTGAACTGGCTTGTCTGGATTTATGGGTAATAGGTGCCTCCAAAGAGCGGCCGCGCCAATTAATAAGGGCCCGACAGAAGCCCAGAAGAATTTCAAACTTGTTTCAAACAGACCATAATGAAAACTGTCTAAAAGCTTTCTCGTTCAAACTAAAACGAAGTTTCAATCAGTGATATGAGCAGGAGGAAGCGGATGAATGCCCACCACAAGTCCGGTTCAGTAAGCAGCCTAAGCAATGACACAGCGCTATCGACCAATGTTCGAAGCTCTTCCACCTCCGAGCGACTTCCGCTGGAACACAGCATAGCATCTACCCATCGTAGGCGGTTCGGATTAGATGTAGAAGATGGTGAAGAGGTGGTTTCATTTCGTGCTCGAGCGATTCTAATTAAATCCTGGACCTGCAGGTCTGTTTCCAGGTGAAGGACCATCAAAGAGGTACAAAGCCAGCCTCCACCGACCGACTCAGCGCCCTTAGAAGATTCAAGCGCTCTGAAGAGATTCCTCTCCTCTCCGCCAGGAGGTAACTCTGCCGCGTTCCCAACTGTATCGTCCACAATGATTAGGCGCACTAAATTCGGGAGCCGAGAAAGAAATCGAATTAGAAATGGGACGTCGGCCAGCTGTAAACACTCGACCAATTTTAAGGTGTGAAGATTTGCTGGAAGGTAATTGGAGTGAGACCACTGCGAAAAGAAAGAAGCCAGTGCTAAGGATGGTGATTCATTCTGCGAATTCCGTGACCGATGCGGTCGGTACTGGTGATCCACAAAGAGGGTCTGGAGGGATGTCGCAGATATAGCACAAAGAAGGGGAGAGACGTAGCATGATCGTACGAGCTCGAGAGTAAGTAATTCTCGGAGGTAAACCGTTTTTTGGTTCAATGGCACGCTCTGGAAATGTCGAATAGATTCTATAATCAATGTATTCACTGCTGGAATGCGGGATAAGCAGTCGATAGTTGAGGTGAGGTGAACCTGGTCATCGTGTCGGGGATTTACTTTAAGCCTAAAGAATTTGATGGAGGAGGAAAGGAAAGGTAATATCCATTCTTTAGAAAGGGCGGTAGCGGTGAATGTGTGAAGTTTAGGAGGTTGGCGAAACTCTGTCAGGTCACCAAAAAAATCTGTCGCGGGATCTGTGGAGGGGAAACTCCGGGAAAGGTGGAGCGACCCTAATGATGAGCGCATGTCCGACCAGCGGCATTGCAGGAGGGTATTTGTGTGTACCACCGCGCTGACCCAGTTACGTGAGAGGCTTGTCAATCTCCTGACCTCCCACGCAACGGGTGGAGGCAACACAGATGGGGGAATAGAAACCGTTAGAGGTGCGGCTTTGGCTTTGGTGATTTGTAGGCCGAGGGTATATGGATACCGGGCTCTTTTGTCCAGGATATTGATAATGCCCCAAAGCGATGGCGTGCTAATGACGATCTCGTTCCAGGCCCTGCAGACGAGGCAGATTCGTGGCAGAAAATCGATTCCCCAAGCAAGCACCCCGATCTCGAAGATGGTAGCGTAAACAGCTGAAGGCACCTGCTGGAAGTCCATAGAGTTGGAACCGGAAAGAGGGGAAGGAGCGATTTTTTTCTGGATTGCAAGTTCTCTTGTTGATTAAAATACCAGCTCAACGGGAGAGTTCTTCGGGACCGCCGTCGCAAGCTTTGAGTGCGATTTGACTTGGTAGAGTCCACTCAAGTCAGACGGCTAGCGACGAGCCGATGACGCTCGTAGAAGAAGATGCCCGATTTCGGAGCCGCAAAGAGTTTGAGAGGTTCAGGCTGGCCCGTTGACGGACGTCGAGGTTCAGACTTGGTTCAGACCAAGCTGAGCGAGAGCCAAGAACGTCGAGTCAACTGCCAAGTTTTATGGCACATGTTCGACACATGCTAACAACGATGCCTCTGTGGCTGTGAACTTGGGGATGATCATGAGCGCTTGAGCACTCCAAATTTCAAATTATTTTGGGAAGATTCGAAAGACTCATTCGAATACAGCATAACAACCACGCAAACCCGGTGAAAAAAGATGGAGGAGGTAGCATGTAAGGGAGTAATCAGGAATCATGCAACCCACATGATAGCTTGCAATCGAAAGCAGGCTAAAGAATTCGAATATCCAGTAATGAAATGCAAGAACCAGCGAAATCTTTGAAGGTCTTTGTCTTCAAGGATTTTCAGCCTTCAAGATCGGAGGGACATTCGGTTTCGATTCTCTCTCAACGGACGTCGAGAACGCGAGACAATAGATAGCAAGCAACGCCTCTTCCGCAAAAGATTCTCTATATCGTCCTGTCTTGCGAAATCCTCTCGTCAGCGTTCAACTCCATCAGCCGGCCACATACTGAGCACCGGCTCGGAGACAATTGGGAGGAACGATCCTCTGTTTCTGCCAACCTGACGACAACTGGCGCCCTCCTCCCAGACGAGACGACCCAGTGAGAGCTCACACGGAGAAACAACGGGGGGACTCAAAAAACTAGGGCGCAGGGGGTCAACACTGGAGGCAAGAGCAGTGAGGTGCAAGTGACTGTAGAGAAGAGTGATATTCGTCCGGCGCTGCCGGATACGAACGTGAAAATGAGTTTAGATGGTGTCGAATCCAACGAAGGAGAGAGCTTCCAGACGAAAACTTCTTGGAGGCTCTTCAAGAGGCTCTCAAGAGGCTCTCTAAGCATTTACCAGAAAGCTGGTGGGCTGTGCCCAGGCTACTACCTCCCGTTGGTGTTGACCGAAGTGTTCCGCTCCGCGGTGGTACTTCGCGAAGAAAGTGGCAACCAAGATACTAAGATTCCCGTATTGCGACTCGGAGGTCGGAAAGAATTATGTTTGGGCTGTCTTGGACCTCTATGATTTTGTAGAGCCTTGTAAATGAAGAATGTAAGACCTCTTTCGCCTGATACAGGCGACAGGACGCACCTAGCATGTATAATTAGGGATATGTAGTTTGCTGCACATTGAGTTATAATTAGGTGGGCTGCCATGCGTTACAGTGACCGCTCGTGACAGGCTGGGCCAGAGTAATTTCGATTTCAACATCACACTACCACCACCACCACCACCTGTCGCTCTCCTCGCCTCCGTCTCTTCAGTCTCTAGAACAAGGCGTATACCATGGAACTTTTTGGCTTTTCGGTAGACTTGGGAAGCCCTGTCAACACCGCTCTTTTCCTGTACATTCTGTACTCGGTCCAAAAAATCATCTTTCCTCCCATCGCAAAACCAACTAAGGTTCCCAATGAATTTAAAGGAGGGTACACGTGGATGCCGAAGGCGCATCCGCCGACAGTCCTATACCGGATATATACCCCAAAGACGCTGGAGCCGTTCAGTGGCAAAGATGGAGGAAGGATATTGCTTGCGATCAATGGCATTGTGTTCGATGTGACGGCGGGGAGGAATTTCTATGGTCCAAGTATGTGAACAGTCTTTTCCTGAGATTCCGGCTCAACGTTCGTAGATGGAATGTATGAAAACTTCGCTGGCCGAGATGCTTCAAGGGGAATGGCGAAACAATCGTTCGATCTTGGTAGGCGCTGCCCGGGCTCTTGTCGATTTGGAGCTCATTCGAGATCTGTAGATATGCTCACTCCAGTTGAGGCTCCTCTTGACCCTCTAACGGACCTGGCACCCGACGAAATGTAGGTTTCCAACAACTAGGACCTGTACTTGCTGACTTCTCCGATACATTCAGTGATAACATGAAAGGTTCGCCTGATGCTCTTTTCATCTTTCCTTTTCTGACTTGATCACACAGGATGGATTGAGCACTTCTCTAACAAGTATATCATCTGCGGCAAGTTGGTCGAGAACGATGCCCTCTAGAGGTTCCTCATTCGCAATGTGTATATGTATCTTTCTATGAAATGTGATGGTTTTCACCACAGTCTGAAGTCTTTCGTTTAGCCTCATAAGCCTGCGCTGGCTACTATTGTTTAGCCATGAGTCTTCATCGTGCATTGCCTGTCGCCAGGCTGCAAACTCGACCGTTGACGACAACCACAAAGAAGGGATCACCCTAGTTCTACCGTCTTCCTCGTCATCAACTTTCTATTGACTTCTTAAACCCAAGATATTGGGAAAGACGACAGAAGGAGCTAAACTCGGGAACGACCTGGTCATGGCAGAAAACATGGAGGAAAGGTATCGCCCTCCTTGAGTCTATCAATGAACAATTCGAGCTGGTTACGCGCAACCAGATAGTTCAGAGGCGGAAGGCCCTCCACGCTGCGTCTCAGTCGACACTGTTGGAGCTCCACATGGCATGATATTCGCATTGTGCACAAAGGGCTCAGCAGAGACGTTTAAATTCTTCCAGAGATGGCGTTCCAAAGAATTGGCCTCTGAGATCTGAGGCCTTCTGTCACTCAGGACGTTTACCTTCAAGTGTTCAAATTTCAAATATGAAATCCTTGGGCTATCGTGAGTTCCTCGCATCGTCAGGCTCTGTTTTGCTGACGGTGTCACGCGCTGGCACAGTGCTTCAGCATACTAGGAGTTTTATTTCGGAGGGGGCAAAATTCCCGGAATACTACGCACACTACCTCAATGGCAATCAGCAACGCCGCCCCATTTCCCTTCGCTCTTATTCAATAATTGCTTGTAATTTTGCCGTTGTAATCGAACCTCTGTTGAAGAGGTCCGATCCCAAAATCTTCGCCACAACGAGGTCGGATTCCCTCGTGCCACGGTGCCAGGCTCTTGACAACTTAAACAACTCGGAACCAGTCGGGATCCTACCACTACTTTCCTCAGTCGAAACCTAGGTCGATGAGTTGGAACTCGCAACAGCTGAGCGACCCAAGGCAGTAGCGTCAGTTCGCCACCATCCGGGCGACAGAAATCACTTGACATGCCGAATTGCTGAAGTAAAGATCTCACCTTTACAGTTTTTTGTGGCATCAGATCGAGCACTTCCTTGTCCTCTTTATGTTGAAGCTCGCAGCTGGCGTTCGAGGGTTTGTCAATCTGATTCCTTTCTAGAATTTCTTTGACCGAAAAAGGAGCGGGGTCTTCAAACGATGCTCGAGCTGGGCCACCGTAAGGCCCCTCTTTGGACTATAAGAAGAGGGCACTTTCGCTCCTCCTCTATAGTGCTGTTCCCCACATCGCCCTCACACTTCATTCACCACATCTTTCTCGCATCCAATCACAACTCTCTCTACTTATTATGGCTAGCACTAAAGTCGAATACCAGACTGTAACCTTCAAGCAACTTATCTACAATGATTCCGGCTCTGGTGCCGATACCGACCTGGCAACCTGGAGGCCCGATCGTAAGTTTTTCTGACTTGCTATCTCTGGTCTGATCAACTGATGCGACGACGACGAAATTAGTCTCCGAGGGCTGGTACTACCTTGGTCCAGCTGCGACGAACAACAGCAACACTCCTGGGACCGGAATCGTTGTCAGGGAGCTCGAACCAGGCGTCCTTGTAGATGTTGCCGACTGGACCCAAGTGTGGAACGATACTGGCTCCCACAACAAGACTGACTTCGCGCTCTGGCGTGGCGTAGGCCCCACGCTCGATTACGTCGTAGTCGGTGGTTTCTTCACCCGCAGCCACAACAAGCCCACCACGGACGAGGCAAAGGGTATTAAGGCCATCCATAAGTCCGCGTTGCACAGCACAGGCCCTGGAAGCCAGATTTGGACTGATAAGGGTTCAAAGGCTAAGGAGGATGGAGCTATTTGGGGCATTTCGACCATTGATGTGGTGCCCACTGGTGCATTTGTGCCAGTTGCAGGGTATAACAACCCACCCCAGGAGTTGTACGGCCTCCAGTTTGTTGAGGTTGAGGGGGGCGGCTTGGAGGGAGAGCATTAAATGAGAGTTGAAGCTGTGTCGCAACGACTCTGCTTTTTAAGGTTTGCCTATCTTCTTCTCATGTGTTCTGGGTATTCACTTGGTTCGTGTGCATTGCTAGATATGTCTGCCGTGTAAAGGACTTTGATAGTTATGCTTGTATCATTGACTCCTGAATTGTTCTGTGTGTATTGAGGGTTTCTCATTGAGAATCGGTGACCGTTGCCTTTCAACCTTTGTGAACTGAAATTTCCAATGACCACTGTTGGCTGCTTGGTTCTTTCATCCATGAACCCCCGCAAAGTGCAATTGCAGACCTTGTCGAAGTTGTTCTGCAGCTTAAATAAGTGCTGGCGGAAGCCTGCTGTCGTCTCGCATCAAACTCCCAAACTTGAATTACCTCGATTACTAGTAATTCCTTTCAATCAACAAAGTCTACACTTGTCCGCGGCCGCATAGATCGCCATGGACGCGGATTCCGTCAATAATAAACAAAGCTGTCACCTTATATTAAAGGAGGTTCTCCGTTCAATAATTGGGAGCGCAGGAGTCTCTTTTGCGCAAGAATGCGTCATGAATCGTTTGAATAGAGGTATTATAAGCTACTACCTGCCATTGCAGCTCTAGCGTCAAGTGGCCTTCGAAGTCCTATAATGGCGAGCGAAATGGAAGGCGTTTGACAGCGACCAATGATTGACAGCGTAAAAAATCTACTCGGAGAATAAATATCTGTCGTGGCGCGAATTGACGCTGCCGCCTTGGGTCGCTCAGCTGTTGCGAGTTCCAACTCATCGACCTAAGTTTCGATCCAGGAAAGTAGTGATTGATATGATTCGGACTGGTTCCGGGTTCCCTACGCTGTCAAGAGCGCTAGCCCGGCACGAGGAAATCCGACCCAATCGTGACGAAGATTCTGGCATCGGACTTCTTTAACAGACGTTCGGTTACAACGGCAAAATTACCTGCAATTATCTGATAAGAGCCGAAGGGAAATGGGGCGGCGTTATAACGTGTTCTTGATTGCCATTCAGGTAAGTAGTGCGCGTAGCATTACAGGAATTTTGGGCCTCCCAAACTAAGTACTTCGAGTAAGCTGAAAATCTATGGCACGCAGCGCGTCAGCAAACAAGAGTCTGGCGATGTGAGGGACTCACCATTTGCTCACGAATCACGATGGCCCGGGGATATTACCTCCCTCGGCACTCGCCTCGTATTCGAATGAAGCAACTTGAGAATCCTGGTATTGGCTTGCTGACTAGCTCGGAAATGTGTCAATATCGCTACGGAATTCTAAGATAGTTATGTACTCACCAATCTCTTCATACTCCACGCTTGAATTGGATTTGAAGGGATTGCAATAGGTCACCTGGCTGACGTAACGATGAATGGCCAGAGAGCATGTGACTTTTCGGGAGGCGGGTTTCTCAATCGTTTTGTCCAACCTTGGTCCAACCACCATCAAAAGAATTGGCCTCTGAGGCCCGTCACTCGGAACCCTCAACTTTAAGTGTTCAAACGTTCAAATTTCAAAACCCCGGGCCATCGTGAGTCTTTCAGATCGCCAGACTCTCATAAATTTCTGCTTACTTAGGAGTAGTAGTTCGGAGGGGCTAAAGTTCCCTTGGTGCTACGCACACTACCTCAATGGCAGTAATAACAAGTTGTAACGCCACCCCATTTCCCTTCGGCTCTTATCCAATAATTGCAGATAATTTTGCCACAACCGAACCTCTGTTGAAGAAGTCCGATCCCAGAATCTTCGCCACAATGACGTCGGATTCCTTCGTGCCAGGCTCTTGACAGTGTAGACAACTCGGAACCAGTCGGAATCCTACCCTGGTCAATCACTGTTTTCCTCAATTGAAACTTAGGTCGATGAGTTGGGACTCGCAACAGCTGAGCGACCCAAGGCAGTAGCGTCAGTTCGCCGCCACGACAGATAATCATTCTCCGGGTAGATTTTTTACAACGCTGTCAATCATTGGTCGCTGTCAAACACCTTCCATTTCGCTCGCCATTATCATTGATTGCCACTGAAAGGACTTCGAACGTCACTTGACGCTAGAGCTGCATTGGAAGGTAGGTAACTCATAATGGGCCCCAAACTATTCATGACGCCATTCTTGTGCAAAAGAGACTCCCGACATCCCCGACGGATTTCTCAACCTGGACAGGCCGCGAAAACAGCCACTTGTGACTTGACATGCCTAATTGTTGAAGTAAATATCTCCCTTGCAGTTTTTTGTAGCATCAAATCGAGCGCTTCCTTGTCCTCAGCATACCCGTCGTTCATGTGTTCATTAATCTGATGCCTTTCTAGAATTTCTTTGACCGAAAACGGAGCGAGGTCTTCAAACGATGCCCGAGCTGGGGCCACCGTGAGGCCCCCCTTGGGACTATAAAAAGAGGGCACTTTCGCTCCTCCTCTACAGCGCTGTTCTCCACATCGCCCTTACACTTCATTCACCACATCTTTCTCGCATCCAATCGCAATACCCTCTATTCATCATGGCTAACGCTAAAGTCGAATACAGGAACGTAACCTTCAAGCAGCTTATCAACAATGATGCTGGCTCCGGTGCCTCTGCCGACCTGTCGACCTGGAGGCCCGATCGTAAGTCTTTTGGACCCGCTACGTCCGGTCTGATCAACTAATGCAACGACGACGAAATTAGTCTCCAATGGCTGGTACTACCTCGGTCCAGCTGCGACGAACAACGGCAACACTCCTGGCACCGGAATCGTTGTCAGGGCGCTCGAACCAGGCGTCCTTGTCGACGTTGCCGACTGGATCCAAGTGTGGAACGACGCTGGCTCCGGGAAACCGACTGACTACGCGCTCTGGCGCGGCGTAGGCCCCACGCCCGATTACATCGTAGTCGGTGGTTTCTTCACCCGCAGCCACAACAAGCCTACCGCGCAGGAGGCAAAGGGTATTAAGGCCATCCATAGGCTCGCGTTGCACAACACATCTCCTGGAAGCCAGGTTTGGACTGACAAGGGTTCGAAGGCTAAGGAGGATGGAGCTATTTGGGGCATTTCGAGCTTTGGCGTGGTGCCCACTGGTGCATTTGTGCCTGTCAAAGGGTATAACAACCCACCCCAGGAGCTGTACGGCCTCCAGCCTCAGGTTGCGAAGAGCGGCTTGGAGGGAGAGTATTAAATGAGTTGAAGCTGTGTCGCAGTGCGACTCTGCCTTCCAAGGTATGCCCATCTTTTTCTCATGCTCCCGACACTCAATTGATTCGTGTGCATTGCTAGATATGTCTGCTGTGTCAAGGATTTGAATAGTTATGCTTGTATCATTGACTCCTGAATGAATCAATCGTTGTTTGTGTGTTTAAATGGTTTCTCATGGAGGATCGGTGACCGTTGCTGAACAGCAGCCTCTTCAACTTATACATCCTTTGCGAACGGAAAGTTTAATGAGAACTGCTGACCGCTTAGTTAAGAGCTGTTCAAAGAATTCGTGGCATATGCGGCTTGTACCAGCTATCAGACGCCCACTCAGGCTGAACATTCCACGCTGGTCTTTGAGCGCTGTGAACTTCAAGTCCTTGGTCGACTGGCCATGGATGGTGGCCTTGGCTCGACGGAGTCCGTTTGCTCTCGTCAATAGTATTTCGGGCCAACTGAATTACCGAGGGGGCGGTGTTAGAAAAATTCCTCGGACAGTGATGTTAACTCCAACGGACGACGAGTAGCATCTTGGTACATATGAACACCGGTACCCAGCGCTAATAAGCAGTATAAAGAGACGCGATGTTATTCCATTGGGTTCAGCCTTTGAAACCAACACGCCGCCACTAGAAACGGTCCGTCTTTTCAAGTCGTAGAAGCCCTTCCTGCAATGGACGGGCTGCGTCACCAAAGAGCGCCTAAGGTATCTCGCTTGGGGCCCATCCCCTATCCGTAGACTTGGTACGCATGACGGCGCCAAGCTACGCCATAGTGACTCCGCTGGGAGGAACCTGAAGGATTCAACTGGAAGATAGGTGGGTAAGTATTTTATCAAATGGATTGAAGAGAACGTACCATACTCGAGTATCGGGCTCCGAGTTTAGTACTTGAAGGCACCAAGGAAGTGCGCAAGTGCTGGCAAGTTGTACCTCAAGCTGGAGATAAGCTGACGAGATAAGGTATTAACCTCGCGCCGTCTAGCCACACGCTATACTTGAAATAAAAAATCCCGAGATTGGCGTTCAATGGATTGGCGATGTCTGAATCAAACAAGAAGAAAGACAGCACAATAGCCGCACGTGCGCTGGCGCTCACCACCTTCCTTCTTAGCCACTCTTCGGTTTCCAGCTCCTTCTTCCTCTTCCTCTTCCTACCCATCCTCCTTCCTTCTTTTACCCCTCAAATTCACATTAATGAGCAACAACGACCCGAAAGCGGGCCCAGCAAGCCCCATCGACGAAGACGCACCCGGACCGCCCATCTCGGTGGCAGACTCGGGCGACACTGGCGACGGCGGGAAACTCAAGATGATAGTGCAGCTTGTAAAGAAGTGTTTAGGTGTGAAGGATATTGCTGCCATGTTCGTCTGTCTTTTCTTTTGGTTTTGATGTTGCTCATCGATGACGCTCTTGCTTGCTTATTGTAACGACACGGCAGGCGTCTTTCGTTACCCGCTTCACTTCTGGAACCTATCCCTAACCTCGAGTACTGGCAATACCTCGATAGACCGGACGTGTTCGCTGCGTTGAGTCCTTCCTATGTGTCACATGTGTGTACGCGCTTATCGAGGGGCTTTGCGTGGCAGGATCAACGACTCGCCACATCCCTTTGAAAGGATGCTCGCAGTGCTCCGGTTCACGCTAACAAAGGACCTCAAATTCATCGTATGTCCCCCCTCCACCTCCGCCTTCCCTCTAACCCCTACCAACAGCACGGCAAAGTCTGCAAACCCTACAACTCCGTCCTAGGCGAACACTTCCGCGCCCACTGGGACGTAACACCCGCACGGTTCCCCAACTCCGACTCCTCTGACTCTTCTTCAACGATACCCAAGGGCCGCCCCTCCTTCGTCTCCGAGACAGCCAGCGTGCGCAGCGCAGTCAGCTCGAGCTCGAAGAGCGCCAAGAGCGGGCGCAGCAGCTTTTTGTCCAAGCCTCCAAAGAGCCCTTCGACAGCTGCGACTTCGGTGGAAGCGGAGCCGGATGAGGCTCAGGCACTGAAGAGGCTGTCCAAGTTCAGCTTGGGCACTGGTGAGGGCCCCATTGAGTCTAGTGGCACTGGCGCGGGTGAGACGGCGAGGGTGGTGTACGTTACTGAACAAGTATCCCACCATCCCCCCGTCTCCGCGTACTTCGCCACATGCCCCGAAAGATCCTTAGAGCTCTTCGGCATCGACCAGATATCAGCCAAAGTCTCCGGGACGACGTTACGTGTTTCTCCTGGACAGTATAACCAGGGTATATTTGTGAGGGTTACGGGTGGGTTTGGGGAGGGGGAGCGCTATCATATCACGCATCCTATTGCGTCTGTTAATGGGATATTGAGGGGGAGTTTTTATGTTACTGTTGGAGAGTCGACGGTTATCAGTGTTAGCGGGGGGAAGCACGGACAAAGGTTTAGGACGATTATCGAATATAAAGAGGAGGTGCGTCTTTCCGTCTTGTTCCTCGAGTGGTTGATAATTGATTGATGCGATGTTAGTCATGGCTGGGCCGGGCTCATTTCCTGATGGAGGGCGTCATCCACACCGTCCACGATGGCGAGGCCGACCACGAAGAATGGACGAAAGTGAAACACGTACCACACAACCGCATCGTCGCCGTCTTTGACGGCTCATGGAAAGGACACGTCCGGTGGCGACGAGTCGGCGCGGGGTCCTACCCACCCACCATCTCATCCTCCGCTTCCTCACCCAACCCTTCCCACACGCAACTCCCCACGCCCCATATACCCTCTGCGTCTGCATCCAAAGCCGACGTCACCGCCACGGGGTATTCGGGGGAGTGGGCCACGTTGATTGACCTGTCGGCGATGGAGATTATACCAAAGGTGGTGAGGCCTTTGGAGAAGCAGCTTGAGAATGAGAGTCGGAGGCTTTGGGAGAACGTTACGGATAATTTGGTGAAGAGGGAGTTTGGGGAGGCAACGAGGGAGAAGGTTGGGATTGAGCAGAGGCAGAGGGATGAGGCTGCTGAGAGGAAGAAGAGGGGTGTTGAGTGAGTTTTATTTTTGTTCTTTTTTGTCTTTTCTCTTTTTCTGTTTTGACTTTCTTTTCTTCTTCTATCTTTCTGTAAACTAACATTGTCCCTTTTGATACAAAGGTTCGTCCCTCGGTATTTCGAGAAAGACATATCAAAGGGATTCGCGGAGCTCACGGCTGAGGGGTGGAAAGCTGTTCAAGAGGAGATTGAAGAAGAGACGTCGGCTTGTATCGAGGGTTCCTTAGGGACGAAGTTGGCTGCGCGATAAGGGCATTCCAGTTTCGCATTATGAATATGTATCCCGCCGTTTATTCCTGATGAATCCTGCTCTTTTCGTGTGTAAAGAGTCGCTACTACTTGTTCATCGTAGAGGTTCAACCCTTTTTTTTTTTGCATCCCTAGCTAGCTATGTGCAGTAATGGACACATTTCTTTTCTTCTTTTATGATGAACTAGCGCGGTGCTTCGCTGCCTTGTTCCTTTTGATTACAGCTATCGAGGTATCGATAGACCGGTTTCCTCAACACTCCACTTCAGTCACCCATTTTTGGGTACCTATGAGGTACATCAATTCCTTGATTTAGGGTGCCTTGAGGGTACCCATTCCGGGGTGGTATATGAGCTTGATACCAATACCATGGTACCATGGAATGGAAAACCCATACCATACCCCACTCATACCAATACCATGTTACCATACCATACCAATACCATGTCACCATACCATACCAGATGGTATGATGTCTTCATACCATCATACCAAAGCTGACATAGGGTGTCTGGGGTCCTTTTCCAAAATATAAAAATTATTTCTGCAGGCTGCAATACTCGTCCATTGGGTGCCATTTTTTGTGGGGTGGTTCTCCAGGTTTTTCCTGAGATATTAGGCTACAAATTGAGGCCAGATAGTCCAAACCATCTATTGAAAATGAGTTTAAATAGGCTTTATCCCAGATTTCCCATGCATCCAAAGCCATTTAATGATACATATCTTTCCCAATCCTTTCTATTAAAACAATATTCATCCAAATCAAACAAAACCACATCTATTGTGATGAAGTGGTCATAGAGAAGAAAAGAAAAGTGAAAAGGCTTTCAGGTTTTTGCTAAGATTTCCAATTCCAAGTGGAGGCCAGATAGTGAACTCCAACCTTTAAAAATCAGTTCAATTGAGGGTTTTTTCATTCCTGAAAAGCCATTAATATGAATGCTTTCAATAATAGGTTAAATATATTTTGCCCAGTAGGGCCAATCAGACAGTCCTGCCTACTTACATAGCATACACATATAGTATGGCCAACAACACCATCATATAATCTCAATTTTCTTAAACACTACATATGTTGGAATCAAGTATTGTTGTCCTGAGTGTTTGGCCAAAGTCTTCTTTGTCATAATAGTTGGTCCAATTTATTGAAGCTAGGTGAATCTGTCCAATCCAAAGTCTTGTCAGAGTCTCCATTATCAAAATATTATACCATGGTGTTGTAATCCCATGTTGCACTCTCATACCATACCATACCATAGTATTGCACTCCCATAACATACCATACCATGGTTTTGCAATCCCATCCCATCCCATACCATACCATACCATACCATACCATACCATGGTGTTGCAATTCCATCCCATACCATACCATGGTATTGCACTCCCATACCATACCATACCATGGTATAGCACCCTCATACCATACCATACCATGGTATCACACTCCCATACCATACCATACCATGGTATTGCACCCTCATACCATACCATACCATGGTATCACACTCCCATACCATACCATACCATGCACCCTCATACCATACCATGGTATCAGGAACCATAATCTATTTTTATTTAGGCAGAGGAAGGCAGAAAACCCTCATTTCGAAGTTTGTTTATATATATTTACCAATAGCTTTGACTGAAGTGAGGCTAAAATTTTGTAGTGTCCGCTTTGATGATTTCCTAATTGGGCCATTTCCTAATTGGGAAAAGCGTTACACTTTTTTCTGCCACACCTAATGTCAGGCACAGTGTGCAGTTAGGTTGGGAACTGTTTCCCACGCTCTTTGGGCCACTGGAGTTAGTGGCTAGCTTAGTGTTCTCATTGTTCATGACGATGTCCGCACTATTTCCTAATTGGGCCATTTCCTAATTGGGAAAAGCGTTACACTTTTTTTAGACACAGCTGATGTCAGGCACAGTGCGCATTTAGGTTGGGAACTGTTTCCCACGCCTTTTGGGCCAGAAGAGTTAATGGCTAGCATGGTGTTGTCATTGTTAATGATGATGTGCGCACTATTTCCTAATTCGGCCATTTCCTAATTGGGAAAAGCGTTACACTTTTTTCTGCCACACCTAATGTCAGGCACAATGCACATTTAGGTTGGGAACTGTTTCCCACGCTCTTTGGGCCACTGGAGTTAGTGGCTAGCTTAGTGTTGTCATTGTTTATGACGATGTTCGCATATTTCCTAATTTGGAAAGTCATTACATAATATCAGTTTGGTTTGTACTGTCCGCTTTTTCACTACAAAAATTACTAATGTGCGCTTTTTTCATTACTAAACTTTGTAGTGTCCGCTTTTTAGACTACAAATGCATGTAGTGTGCGCTTTTTTGACTACAAATGTTTGTAGTCTTTGTAAAATTACTAGTGTGCGCTTTTTTCATTACTAAAGTTTGTAGTGTCCGCTTTTTTGACTACAAATGTTTGTAGTGTGCGCTTTTTTCATTACAAATGTTTGTAGTCTTTGCCTTTTTCATTACAAAGGCTTGTAGTGTGCGCTTTTTTCATTACAAATGTTTGTAGTGTCCGCTTTTTTGACTACAAATGTTTGTAGTGTGCGCTTTTTCATTACAAATGTTTGTAGTGTCCGCTTTTTTGACTACAAATGTTTGTAGTCTTTGGCTTTTTCATTACAAAGGCTTGTAGTGTGCGCTTTTTTGACTACAAATGTTTGTAGTCTTTGCCTTTTTCATTACAAATGTTTGTAGTGTGCGCTTTTTTCCTTACAAATGTTTGTAGTCTTTGCCTTTTTCATTACAAAGGCTTGTAGTATGTGCTTTTTTCATTACAAATGTTTGTAGTGTCCGCTTTTTTCAACTACAAATGTCTGTAGTCTTTGCTTTTTACATTACATGAAGGTGTATGGGGTATAGCTGATGTTTCACAAAAATTGACTGTAGTTAAACAGCTGGCAAACCATTCACTCTTTGTACCCTGCAAGGAATTACATTTAACAGTAACTATGGGAAAGGGCAGATGGTTGCAACTGATTATGAAATAGAAAGGGAGGACAGCATAGTCCTGAAAGAGATCATGTTGAGGTTGGCTATGGTCAGACATACATGAGTCCCCAGAGATATGCAAAGAGTGTTGGAGATGATGAGAACATGACAGAAGCTGGTCAAAGGGAAAGTCAGGACAAGACAACTTGGGCATGAGTTTTGACATCTCAGTGTAGCCTCTTCTTACTTTCCATTTCATCATCATGTAATTCCCTGTATGGTACAAAGGCTGAATGATTAAGAGCTGTTTTGGCTAGACTCAGTTGCTCTAAAACATTGAGCTATATCCTCGTGTACCTAGATAGAGACAGGNGATAATATCTTTGTACGCTAAAAAAGCAGACACTACAAACTTTGTAATGGAAAAGGCAAAGACTACAAACATTTGTAGTCAAAAAAGCGGACACTACAAACATTTGTAATGAAAAAAGCATATACTACAAGCCTTTGTAATGAAAAAGGCAAAGACTACAAACATTTGTAGTCAAAAAAGCGGACACTACAAACATTTGTAATGAAAAAGGCAAAGACTACAAACATTTGTAGTCAAAAAAGCGGACACTACAAACATTTGTAAGGAAAAAAGCGCACACTACAAACATTTGTAATGAAAAAGGCAAAGACTACAAACATTTGTAGTCAAAAAAGCGCACACTACAAGCCTTTGTAATGAAAAAGCCAAAGACTACAAACATTTGTAGTCAAAAAAGCGGACACTACAAACATTTGTAATGAAAAAGCGCACTACAAACATTTGTAGTCAAAAAAGCGGACACTACAAACATTTGTAATGAAAAAAGCGCACACTACAAGCCTTTGTAATGAAAAAGGCAAAGACTACAAACATTTGTAATGAAAAAAGCGCACACTACAAACTTTAGTAATGAAAAAAGCGCACACTAGTAATTTTACAAAGACTACAAACATTTGTAGTCAAAAAAGCGCACACTACATGCATTTGTAGTCTAAAAAGCGGACACTACAAAGTTTAGTAATGAAAAAAGCGCACATTAGTAATTTTTGTAGTGAAAAAGCGGACAGTACAAACCAAACTGATATTATGTAATGACTTTCCAAATTAGGAAATATGCGAACATCGTCATAAACAATGACAACACTAAGCTAGCCACTAACTCCAGTGGCCCAAAGAGCGTGGGAAACAGTTCCCAACCTAAATGTGCATTGTGCCTGACATTAGGTGTGGCAGAAAAAAGTGTAACGCTTTTCCCAATTAGGAAATGGCCGAATTAGGAAATAGTGCGCACATCATCATTAACAATGACAACACCATGCTAGCCATTAACTCTTCTGGCCCAAAAGGCGTGGGAAACAGTTCCCAACCTAAATGCGCACTGTGCCTGACATCAGCTGTGTCTAAAAAAAGTGTAACGCTTTTCCCAATTAGGAAATAGTGCGGACATCGTCATGAACAATGAGAACACTAAGCTAGCCACTAACTCCAGTGGCCCAAAGAGCATGGGAAACAGTTCCCAACCTAACTGCACACTGTGCCTGACATTAG